CCAGATTTCAACCTTATTGTCAGTGAAGACATTAAGCATGATAAGGTGAAAATTTACAGTGCTAAGAATAACTTATAAAAGGCTTTATATGTCCGTTGTTGGTGCAGTTGACTTTGTTGCTGTTGTTGAAGTTGACTCTTCATCTTGCTTTCTTACATTTTTGGTATGGAAGTTATACAGAGGTAGGTGGAATTGTTGTACTTTTTTAGTTTGGCAACTATTGCTGCTCAACAAAAACCACATATACGTTTGACTTTTTCATTTCTTGTAAAGTAGGTAGTGCTGCTTCTGCAGAAACACATTTGAAAAAATGAAGCTTCTGTGATTGTTTAAAAAACAGCCCAGAACAATTTCCTTAAGATAACCCTTTGTTAATTTCAACTTTGACTATTTCAACTTATAAACGTTTACCTTATCAGAGATAGATGCTTATTGCAAAGCTAAAGAATGAACCCTAACTGGGCACCCAAAGCGCAGAGCCTACTTTCCCAGGACAAACACTTAGCTTACCTGAAAAACTACAACCTTGCCATCATCGGCCTGCAGGTAGAAGGTCCAGGTAGAGGAGATGAAGCTCTGGGCAGAGCTAACGATGTCGTTGCACCAGCTGGATACGGCCTCCATCACAGAGGGGGGCTTAGGACGAAGAGTCATGGCCCTGAGCTGCAGAAGAGAGAGCATGAGACTATTAACTGCATGTGTGAATGCTTTATTGAGTACATTTTTGTATTCTGAGTTGTGATATTATTTTGTCAGTCATCCTATGTCACTTTGGCACTTGGAGCCCAGTTTGCTGTATTTGTGTGTGCAGCTGGTGGCCTTTCTCACCTTCCTCCTCTTGATCTCTGGTTCAGAGGGTTGGCTGGCACAGCCAGTGCTGCAGGCCTCCTGCTCCAGCAGCTTGATATACGCCTCCTGGCAGGCTGCAGAGAGAGAGAGGGGGGGGGGGGGGGGTTAGGAAGCAAAAAAAGATGTAAAAAATAATGACGGTAAAAAAGAAAGAGAAGAAGTGACCATGGAGCACTACACTCAGCTGGAAGACAATAAGGGAAGAAAAAAAACAGTGAACACATTTCATGTGGGAACAAAGATAAGGATGCTGGTGAGATGTATCTTTTGGACTCCACAGAGATGATTCATCTTATGTTGTCTTTATTGAAACTGGGGGCGACGGGGCATTTGCTGTCTGGACGGTAAATCATGCATTGATTTCCAATACAGCAGTTCAAACAGGAAGTGGCGCCTTTACCCAGAAAATACTCAGAGTCTTCCAGCTTAGAGGAAACAATGCAATATTTAACAGAGATTTCAGCCTGCAATTGTTCTGCTAATCCGTGAGACAGAATGTAGCCGCTATCTTCTCTGCCTTTGAAGTAGATGTATCTATTTCATTCCACCTTAAATTATCTTTTCTCAAAGGCACCAAAAGAAACACACTCCTTTGGGAAACACTTAGGGTAGAAATTACTCGAATAAGAGTTTGAATCTACAGCAGGCAGACGTAGGGTCCAAATGAAAAACTCTGGCTACATTTCAAATGTATTCTTATGAGGATTTGTTCCTCTGCCTTTCATTTTGACATGACATATTGAGGCCTCTGCTGCTTAAACTTTGGTCTCTGCTAGCTCAGCAGGGCTGTAAGTGACACACTCACTCACCTCCCTGACACTCCTCTCTGCTGGTGTTAAAGCCAGCGTTGCCATTGACGAACTGGCAAATAGAGTAGAGGCGGCAGCCGCGGTGGCAGGCATTCATTATGGAGTCCTAAAAGACAGACAGATACAAAATTAGAGAGGCCTCCTGAACTCAAGATAACATTGATAGAATGAGTGACAAAAAAGATTCTGGCATTTCTTAATGACACGGTGCGGCATGCTGCATTATAGCCTGCCTTTACATAGTTGTTATGATGCTTTCTGTCTCTACAAAGGAGCACGCTGTTAACATTAGACCTTTGACTACAACTTTGCAGGGGGGTAAAAATGTGGTTTCAAAAGGGATTGATGCAACTGTAACTAACATTCTGACATAATGCCCTTATTCTCTGTATAAAATGAGGAAACAGCCCCCTCTAGTGACATCTCTGGGAATAGGAGACACAAAGAGATTCCCTGACCGCCACCATGAACGCTTTATTTGAGCCTTGTGCTTGTCATCATCCTCAGTGCGTCTGCCTGTTTGCTCCATGCAGGGAGGAGAGATTACCCCAAACCATTAAACGGCAATTTAGAGATTACATGTGCTGTACTAGACCCTAAACGTTTCAATACAAAGTCTAGTTCTCAATCACAATCTTAAAATCCAGGTGACTGTGCACCGCTTTGCAGCTCTGCTTCTCCCCCCCCACCCTCTGCAGGATACTTTTAACCACACCTGAAGGCAGCAGATGAGAAGGAGGAGGAGGAGGAGGAGGCGAAAGGAAGGGGGGGGGGGTATCCGAAGCTTGAAATATATAGGCTCTAAGGCACAGCAACTCCTGCTGTAATTCAAACCATAATCTACCGTCTTGCAAGGGTCCAGTTCGGCCTAGTGCAAGATGGCAGGCGCTGTGTGGTCCAATCCAGGATAATTGTTTTCTTAGATTTCAACAGTCTGGCTGATTCTTCATTTCTAACGCGCCCTCTGGTCTATAGATAGGCCAATCTTAATGTTGGCCTATAAACGATCAATTAGCCTATTGGTGCAGTTATTTGCATACCAAAGATGAGCTGGATGAAAACAGCTCACTTCTTGGACGAGTCTTCAAGGTGCACAAGAAATGCAGCTGCATCCATTTTTGGCCTAATTTTGCACGGTAGCATCTCAAAGGATGCAGCGAAATATCGGAGCACCAATGATGTTGCGCTGCGATCATTACGCACCAACCTTTCCTCGTAGCCTGCCTTTCGTTTATCTCATATCACAACAGAGGCTTTTTTTACTCGACTGCAGCTTGTTAAGAGTAATTCTGTGTGTCGATGCAGCTGCTGAAATGTCGGACAGCAGAATGTGCTCACCATCGACGTTAACGCGCCTTCTGCAGAGCCAGCCTACGCTACGGCACACAAGAATAACTTACTTTAGCAGGGCTTTTGTTTTTGATGGTGAGCTGGCATTGCTTTTTGCAGTAATTGATGTCGCCCAGTTGGTTGTCGAACAGGTCCGAAGACGCAGCCACGAGCCCGGCGAAGAGCATCGAGAGCAGGGCCGATAAGCCGCACATCGTGCCGCCGAGCCACAGCATCTCAAACCCTGAAGAAGAGGAGTGAAGAGTCGAGCCTGAAGCAGCACTGAGCTCTCTTTGTGGCGGCGCTGCTGCTGCTGCGGATGCTGCTGCTGCTGCTACTGCTGCTGCTGCTGCTTCAGCCTGCCTCCTGTCTGCTCCACTCATCCGCTGCTGCTCGTGGCGTCACGCGCATCAATATCATCATCACGCACGAGCTGCCCCCCCCCCAACCCCCCAATACACAAACATACATAGTCTGCAGACAGAGAAGCCCTCACTGCATAGTGTGGCAGTGATGATAGTCATTTAAAGGTGGCGGACAGTTGATGAGGGCCGAGCTGTGAGGACAGATGCATATGCACAGAGCAGGAAGATACAATGTGTTTTCAATTGTTGGCTCACCGTTCAGAAACAATCAATCTCAATTAGGCTAAATATATCCTTCTATAATAATATAATAATATATTAACAACTGATATAACATTAGAGGCTAATTGTTTCCCCTTTTTCTTAAATCAACAAAAAGTGCACACTTGATAGATGTTCAGTGCCTTTTCATTGTGTCGCTGTGTGGGAGATGTTTTATTTGTTATGCACAACTTTGCTATAAAAGTAGGCTACCCCAGCAATCATTAGGTTATTTAACATGATGACGTTTTATTTGAACGAGATTCTTCTTAATGCAATAGAAGTGCGAGTTTGGCATCTTACCAGAAGTGAAAAAAAATCGGTATTTATTTATGTTGTGAATATATAGAAAAAGAGAGTTTGCACATTGTTAAAGTAGGATATGCAGTAAGCCTGATGACAATTTGACTGTCTGTTGTGAGCAGTTTGGTTGTATAGCCTATCAGACAGCAGTAAACCATAAACTATCCTCAGATATCCTATCAAATTACCAGAATGCATAAAGGAAAAATAAATACATATCAGCTTGTTTTAGGGGTTGTGTAAGGTAAGTGCAGACCATGGTGCAAACATATAGCCTATAAGTAGACATTTTGCATTAGGCTACTGATGTATAGGAAAATCCTATCATTTAAATAGCCTACACTTGGACAGTAAGATAATATATTCACAAAGTGTTGTTTTTGTAAATAGATTTTTCGCAAAATAATGGAATTTCAAACATGCGGTTAAAATGGGATTGATCCTGATTTGAAATTCAGTGATTCATCACAAATAAACATTTTGATCGTTTGACAGCCCTTATCATATAGTATTTAAATACATCACATCTTTATCTATTTTATTTTATTTATACAATATTAGGATGAAATTCTCCACAATTAGCTTTCAAAGATGTTTATGGGTCAGGACCTCACTTGTAGCCTTCCACTGTCTCTAATTGATAAAAGACCAGGATGTAGATTACAGAGTTGATCTCTAATTGTGCTTAATTGTTAGTTGTCGTTGTGTGTAGGTTGTGTGTAGGTTGTGTGTAGGTTGTGTGTAGGTTGTGGGCTATGTAGTGGGACTGTGTAGTGGGAGTGTCAGGGAGGGGACAGACTGAGGAGCACTGATGACTCGGGTCTGTGTGGTAAAGCGAGGGTGGAGCTGACAGTATGAACCTGAGTGTCACAGCAGTAGCAGAGAGAGAGAGGAGTTTCAAAAGGAGCATACACAGTGTTTCGTTTGTTTGCTGTCTGGTTTCACTGAAGAGTCACCGAGAGTCGCCTGAGAGAAGCTGCGAAATTCTTCCTACAACTTTAACCCTGCTGGTCTTCATGTCCAGGAAACACGAAAGGGACAGGGACAGAGAGAAATAAACACAAAGAAACATAGCAGAAGAACAATGTTTTCCTTCATGCCTCTCCTCCTACTACTTGTTTCAAGTGTGTTTTTGTCTTCGACACGTAAGTACCAAACTTTATTTTTAAATGACAAGCTGACAGACCGATGGGCATAACGATGATGTATGTGTCAGTGTAGAGTAGCAGAGTTAACTAAAGATATTATCAGAGCTTCCAGGAGTGAATAGCTCGAAGCTCCAAACATGGTTCATATATGAATTCAGTTATTTCACACCTACAAAAAGGTTGTGATGGCTCCAACATGAATTGCAGTTTGTGAGTCCGACCAAATGGCATTTTGTAGCCCATGTTATTCATTATATGGGCTCTGAGAGTTTACAATACTGTATGAGCCAATATTCTTTCTGATTACATAGGCCTAATATAAAAAGTCTGTGCCCTTTAAGAGACTATTTTCAATTACCTTTAAAGTATGTTTGACCTTAATGTACTGCAAATTCTTGTTATTTATTTCTTAGATATACCTTTATATCATTGCAGGAAAATAATGTCAACTGATGTATCAACAGTCTGATTTTGCCAGCTCTTATAAAAGTACATTACTGCAAGAAGTGACCTTGTGTATCCAGGGGGATATGTATTATAGTATAAACTGAAGGGCAAAATCTCTGACACTTGACAAATGTGTATTTATGTAGCTTATAATATCATTAAATCTCGTTAAAAAAAAACAACTCCAGATATTAATGGATTTCTTTTTTTCTTGGCAAAACCTTGCTGAATGTTGTTAAAAGGTATTTTGGAAAACATTTCTTAGATGACAAATTAGGCTACCAGCGTATGACTATACCAACAAGTTATTGTCTATTACATTATCCACTTTAATAAACCCAGATGTGTTTGATACCAAAATCAGAAGACATGGTGCTGATGATGTAGCTATTGTAGACAAAATATAATAAACAACGTTCATGCTGCTGTTATATGAAGGGAATGCAAAAAAGACGAGAATATTCCAAGAAACAAGTCGTCTTTATGATTTGTAACTAAAAAACACATGTATGTTTTTATTTTTCTCCAGTTTATTTCAGACACACTTTATATTGACACCACTGACTAAGCCTTTAAGTGATCTCATCTGCTAACACTTTTATCTCTGTATGTGTTCTTCACATGAGATGTTAAAAGGACATGTGTTGGAAAGGTTGTTCACCGCACACCTGGACCAAAGTTAATAAAAATCTACACAATGAAGCACAGTTGTAACATTCAGACTCACAGCAGAAGCGTTCTCAGGGGATTCAATCATAAAGGCTGAGGCGTTATGTATATGGGAAAGTGTTCAAGGGTTTTACCGACACACCAGGGTGACCTCTGTGACTGATCCCTCTGAGGCTTCATAAATCCACTTCATTCCAGGGTCATAAATAAGTGCTGAGCTCCTGCTCTGTGCTGATGCATTACTGCTGCTGTGGTTCTCCTTCTCTTCACACAAACAAAGTTTTCTTGAGGTTTGAATGACATTTAAACACTATAGAACCTTGTCTTCAATGCCTACAAAAATGAAACTGCACACATGAGCAGTTTCCAAGGACTTAATGCATGTTACACATAAAAAAAGGGGGGGGGGCGAGAGTGGACCAGCTCCTCAAATCATGTAAATAGTGAAGGGGTACTAGAAACAGTTGGCACTTTAAGTGTATTTAAAAAGAAATGTGGACACTGACCTAATGAGACATCCAACATAAAACACAATAGTGGCAAAAGCTAGAGAAAGACAAAAACTTTGGGGATGCAGTAACAAAAACATAAAACAAATCCCCATTAATTAATTAGTCAAACTAGAGTTTAAACAAGTAGTGGTTCAAACATTTCCCCTTGAAATATATTTTGTAATGAATTTGTATATATTAAAGTTATTCATCAGACGAGATTAAAAAAAAAAGTGCAGGTTCTTGTGTCTTAATTTTGATGACCTTGTTTTTTGTTTTTGAGAAATGTGGTTGGACTAGACCTTAGCTTGGGCTCTGGAATTTCATTATAGACATTTTTTCAATAGAATGTAATAAAAACGTTGGGAAAAGAAAAGGCATGTTAGAAGATAAATAAGTGTACTTTAAAAATTCTTAGTGTTTTTTGATGTTTGTCTCCACCACATAGATGTAGCAGTGATCTCCCCTCAGGATCCCGTCCTGCAGATCGGCTCCTCTCTAACAGCCACCTGCACGCTGAATCCCGAGCTTGGCAGCCGCACCGGCTCGTTGTACTGGACTCTAAACGGCATGATTCTGTCCAACAGCACCTACAGCATGCTGGGCCCTGACGCATTGAGTGTCACTCTTCACAACCTCAACGGCTCCCAGCAGCAGTCTGGAGACAACCTGGTGTGTCATAGAGCAGATGGACACGTCCTGGCCGGCTCGTGTCTCTACGTGGGCAGTAAGTTTAATCTGCAAAGACTCATACGGAGATTTGTCATTCAGATTCACTTTTGCTGAGAACGCTGGCTGTTAATATGGCATAGGGCTTTTAGGAGTTTGTAGTGTGTATGTAAAAATGTAAATGAATACCATACAGTATATTCTCGCTTCTAAAGCAGTTTTTGTATATCCCTAATTAAATCCCAAATGCTGCCCTTGTTTCTAACTAACTTCAACATTTATTTCCATTTGAAACCATTAAAAGAAAATGAACTTGCATTGAAATAAACTCAATCCAAAGTGAAATCATAAAACCTTCTATAAGGGGAGATTTTCTTTTACCTGTAAGATGATATTTAAAAAATATAAAACATTTCAGTAGAATTATTCACATGAAGAAACCTCTAAAGATTGTTATTTAATAAGTGTGTTTCTCAACGACACAGTTGTATAATGTATAAGTCTATTTATACTTTAATAATTTGTATAAAAAAACCACAAGACTTAAAATGATGTTTGTTGTTTACTTATTATAGTTTTTAAGTCTTGAAAAAGCCCTTTTCATTTGAGTCGGTCAGTGATAAAGTATGAGCTGCTTTAATGTAAAGGCTAAACAGTTTGAATACTTAAAACCAAAGAAAAGTAAACTGGCCTCATGCTGTTTTAATCACTCTTAAATTTGAGACTTAAATTATTGATTAAATCACAAGTTTATTTGACTTCCCTCTTTGGTCAACCCCACCTTTAGCTCATTTTCAACATCCAACCAGAAGAGTTAGTTTGCCATTTTTATCTTTAAAACAATCATCTATACATACTATAAATTATATAACTCTCCAAGTTGTTTTGTATTTTAATTTCAGTGCCTCCAGAAAAGCCTGTCAATATAACATGTTGGTCCCGTAACACAAAAGACCTGAGCTGCAAGTGGAGCCCAGGGGGGCGGGGGGAGACCCACATCCAAACCAAATACATCCTCAAGTACAAATTGAGGTGAGCGCCCCCGACCTGCTGCAGCTCACAGGTGATCACCTCATCCAGCGCCACTCTGGTGGACAGGCAATAAATGCATCAGTGCCGCAACATACTACACTAACAGACTGCTGTTTCCTTTTTGTTTTTTAAGGGAAGTAAGCAACTGTTAAAATTGCCTTTCAGAAATGAAAGCAGAAACAAAATATGATTTTCTTTTCTGTTTTAGGTGGTATGGCAAGGAGAAGGAATGTGAAAATGACGGCACAGCAGGGAAGCTGCGTTACTCCTGTTACATCCCCCGCAACCTGGCTCTCTTCACGCCCTATGAGATCTGGGTGGAGGCAGCCAATCAGCTGGGCTCTGCCACCTCCGACATCACCACCCTGGACATCCTCAATGTAGGTGAGTAAGCAAACCTCTCCTTTCCTGTCCTTCATTTACCTGCCCTTGCTCTCATGTCTTTTCCTCTCTTTGAAATGTGTCTTTTTCTCTGCGGCTCTCCTGCATAAGGCAATCACACTTCTCTTGGAGTGAGGGCATATATTCTTATGGTTTGCTTCCTTTGATGTGCCGCTGTAGAAACATTATGGGTTCAGGCTGAAACTCTCCAAGATAAACTGTGCTGTTTTAAAAGTTGACCGCACATCAGATGCCTCTCAGGCATTGGCTTTAAGGGCCTCTAAATGAGAAATTCAGGAAATTATAAATTAGCAAAAGCAGGTGTTCCTCACAATTTATCCAGTGGTAATTTAATAACGTACCGTAGTTCTGTGTACTACAGTGACGGCCACATTTTAAAATCAGTGTATATTGTTCCTGAGGGAGCGCTGCCTCCTTCCTGTCCTCACTGCACACTGAGGAGCGGATAACTTGGAGCTGTAAATGGGTAGGACGAGAAAGAGGAGCTCTGCCATACGTGTGATGCATTGCCTCTATGACAGAAACAATAAGCTGAAGAATATTTTGGGTTTTCCTCGCTCCCTTGGGCTGAATAGAGTGGAAGAAAAGGAGAACGTCCGCTGAATAACTGCATCTCAAACAGCAGTGAAGGACGTCTGAAGCAGGAAACACTTTTACGAGACATTTAATGAGTTGTTTAATAAGTTCCCCTCTTTGTTTTTGGTGCTGCCGTCCCCTTTATCATTCCTCCAATCTTTCCTTCCATCTTTCTCTCCCTCAAAGAGCTGGATCAGTCAGAAGGTAAACTGTTTGGTTCTTGAGGAAGTACAGACAGACCTGAACCCAAACCTGCGATCCAGGCTGCGATCTAAGTCAAGATACATTACATACGTTTAAATTAGAATAAATAAATATTCATTATATAACTTTTAGGTTAGGGCTCTATATACTTATGGTATGGGAATGTCAAAGATTTGCTGAGATTTACTTTTTTTTTGACACTTTTTGTCATTCTAAAGGGAAAGAAGGAAACAAAGACAAATCATAAAAACAAGTAAAATAGAAGAACATCTGTACTTCTATATATATTTGTATTGCTTAGCTAGCTATCTAAAAATTCCATGGGAAATTGAAGGACTAAACTTACTATGCAGAGCCAGATAGCAGGTAGTCATCTTCACCATGAAGAATAATGAGATGTGATGTTCGTCTTCCATTTGTGTATTCTCAAAATATTTACTGTTAGGAGTTTAATCATTTAAAACTCTTGTATCCTTTTATCCTCGAACCACACACTGTACATCTGCTGTATACAAACCTTGTCATACTTTTTGTTTTCTTTGTGAGTGCAGTGACCACCGACCCTCCTGCCAACGTTCAGGTGAGCCGCGTCGGCGACCTCGACGACCAGCTGACAATCCGCTGGGCCAGCTCCCACGAGCTCAAGGACGTCCTATTTCAGGCCAAATATCAGATCCGCTACAGACTGGAGGAGAGCGTTGAATGGAAGGTGGTCATTATAACTATTCCAGAAATCAGCAGACTAATCTACACACATTTTCTCTGCAGTTTGGGAAATATAGGAGGTGAAAGCTGAGTGATCTATTAAATGATGAAGGCAAAAAGTATCTCCAGCTGCATCTCGAGCAAATTCTTTTTGCATTGAAGCAAATAATACTCTTGTTGAAGTCTTGACGGCTGCAAGTGATCCTTTCAGAAAGCTGGCTTTGCTGCAGAAACTGTCATTCTTTCAAAACAGCCTCTTTGATGTTTTCTACCCACTGCTTCTTTTTTCTCTTTTCTGTGTATGGACAGACAGTACATCTTTGATTTCTGTATTCACTCTTTATCTAATAATGTTAATGTAAGTGTGATGCCACTGTTATTCAGGAATCACTCAAAAGGAACTCAAAACAAAGTAAGAAGACATTCAGAAAGATGCAGCAGAAACATCTCTTTGACAATGATTTGACTAAAATGATTCTGATTTTATCACATCATCTATGTAACTATACTGGTCATAAAAGACTCCATGCATCTTACAGACGTCCACTTTTATGTTTATTTTCATTAAAGTATCATGAAAACTAGAGAGCAAAGGCAATTTCATGCACAAAACAAAAAGGAAACATATTGTGCCATATCTTTATGAAACAAAGTCTAACAGTATTTAATAAGGTAACTAAATCACTTAGAGTCGTGTTTGCCTGGTAGAAAAGCAGCGAGATCATTAAAAAGAGCTCCCCCTCATTTTCTCTCTCTCCCTGTCCATACATTACCCGACTTCAAAGCCATATGGTCATACACAAATGTCTTTCAGCATGAACATAATAAAAGCAACATAACAGAACAATGACTTTGACTGACAAAATACTGGAAATATCTGTAAACAGGTTGCCTGCATACGCTTTAAAAAACAAGAATCATCACAGGTAACAGCCATGACTTTCTTTTGTATGTCAATTAGAGCTGTAGAGGCTAATTTCAGTCTGTTTCATAACCAGCTAAAAACTCCTCACAGAAGCTTTACATTCTTTAAAAAAGTCTGATTAAACCTCTCTGTGGTTTTATTCCCTCTCACAGGTGGTGGATGATGTTGGTAACCAGACATCATGTCGGCTGGCAGGTCTTCGGTCCGGGACCGTCTATTTTGTCCAGGTGAGGTGCAATCCAGTGGGCATCTATGGCTCCAGAAAGGCTGGCATCTGGAGTGACTGGAGTCATCCGGCCGCTGCCTCTACGCCCAGCAGCCGTGAGTACATAAAAGAGGACCCAAGACTTGTTTAATGCAGAATCAAGCTGATGTTTAAAAGAACAACTGAGGTCCTTCATTTCTTTGTGTGCTCGTAACGCAAACAGCTTTCCAAATGTCTCTGGTGCCCACATATCTTGACAATTCATCCCGTCTAATAATGAACCTTTCATCATCAATTAAAGCCAGAAAAACAATGTCCTTATCCCTGTTTCAACATCCTGAACAAGCAGATCCAAACAGCATGTGAACCAGGAGAAAGCAAACATCAATAGGCCAGATATCTTGATAGAGATCTCCCAGCAGAGGATTAGAGGGGACTGCAAAGGGCTGGGGGGACATTTGATAGATTTGTGTCGTCAGCTTCAAAGATTGATCAGGTTAAAGAGCTGCTCGTCTGACTGCGCACACACAGGGCCTATAAAGCCTGAGTGGAAGCAGGTTTGGGAGCAGGAGGAGCAGATAATGAGTTACATTGGTTATGTGGTATTTACTCCCTGGAGGGAGGGAGTCGTTATCAGGCTCCGTAGTTTGCAATAAAGGATTGATTTAAAATGACTTTTAGTAGCTTTTACTGCCCAGAAAGCAGAGTTTGGAGGATCACTTCCACAGTTTTGAACTTTAAATTAAGAAATATTTCTCCATATATGACAATGTTCACTCTTTTGCTAAATGAATTATCGTTAATATGAACCGAGCATATCAGTTTTCTACATAAAACCCCTGTAGTGGAGACAGGCACTTGATGATAGAGGATTATTATTATTTGAGTATTTTATGAAAAAGTCTATGAATTCTAAGTCATAGTTGTGACTGTCATCAGTTAGTGTTTTTTGGTTTATGAATGATCAAATAAAATAAAAATCTTCAACCATGCTAACATCTCTGTGACTCTATCAGGTTTGGAGCTACTTGCTAATGTCAACCAGCTAACATGTACACAAATGTCAACGCTAACACTAATATTCTGCAGGTCCTTTTTTAACCAAGTTCATTTGGAAAACATCATACCAGTGTTCAATGTTAGCATGTTAGCATTTGCGTATTAGCACTAAACATGAAATGATGATGACGGTAATGTCTTCAGTTTTATAGACGTAACAAACAAATGGAGGACGCAAGATACAAAAAGTTGTTTTATTACGTAATTGCAATTTATCCTTTTAATCTCACGGCTCCACATGGGGTAGTTTGTATTTAAATCTATACTAATCTACATAGACATCCCATGCAGGGCTGAACACTATTTGAATACCTATCGAGGTGTAAAATAAAGACTGAACTATAAAAGTATGAAAGAGGGTAAAACTGAAATGAACTATCTGTTATTTTAAACACCAATAAGTGACTTAAGAGATAAATTAAGTTAAACAAAGGGGTCAGTAGGAATCTGATATAACTTGGAGATTTACAAAAAAATATGTTTTTTAAAAACTTAAATAAAAGGTATTTTATTTTGGTAGACTTCATTCTGTGCCTTAGTTTGTCAGAGTAGAAAAAGGTACAAAGAAGATGATTACGAGCTAGATAGTTTATGTTTCTTTCCATTTTTGATGCGTGTTCACTTCCCTTGACAACATGAGCTAAAAATGACCAAAGTGTATCAGGCCTGGTATAGTGTGAGCTTTTCTGAAGCCTGCATGTAGACAGAGATGTTTGTGCAAAGTTGTGTCAAAATCTATACTTTTGGCGCAGTGGTTAGTGCGCGCCCCCCATGTATGGAGGCTGTCGTCTCGAACAGGCGGCCCGGGTTCACATCCCATGGCTTCTTTCCCGCATGTTGTTCCCCACTCTCTCTCCCTGATTTCCACCTCCACTGTCCTATCTCTCCATTAAAGGCACAAAAAGCCCAAAAATAAAAATCTTCAAAAAAATAAAAATCTATACTTTGTTACATCTCTTTCTCTTTAAAATACAAATGTGTTTAAAGATGTATACAACAACACCACATGCCCACACTTAAGACTTTTTTTTTGTAACTTGAGTTTTATAATTTTTCATTTGCACAGACAAAATGGAACAAGCAATTAAACAAACACATACATACATAGCTCATGTCAGTGGGGTACACTTTTTTGAAACATCTCCATCTTCATCCAGGTGTTTAGGTGGTGTCCCTTAAGGGTCTTGTAAGATGTCCTTTTACCCCATTTCTTTGTAAATTCTGACTGTTGAATTCTCAGAACATGTGTGACTCTCCATGTCATTTATCTCCTCAACAATTTCCACCCAGCTTTTGAAAGTAGGAGCCATTTCCTGGTTACTGCTTTCTTTGTTGCTGCGAGCAAATTTTCACCAGATATTCGTCTTCACAATAAGCAATGTCCCGTGTCAGATTACCTAAAAATAACTCCACAAATTATTTCGGTCATTCATACCCATTGCCTTTGAGTAGTTAAAAACGTATTTTTGGTCTTTGGTGTAATGAAAAATCTAATTATGTTTTTCCGACATAATTCTTTCCACATTCTGGAGCTGGTGGATGTCCGTTGTATGTTGCATATATTATGCCAGTCTTCCGTGGATATTTTTGTTTCACATTCTTTTTACCATTTTTTTAAAATATAATTTAATATGTAGGGGTGTCTTTTTGCTTGCCAGTCCTTGAAACATCACACTAAGACTTTTTAAATGACAATGTGTTTTTTGTTGTGGTAATAAACACAAACACCAGCCTGTGCTTTAATTTATATTACACCTCAAGTAAACCCGTCCTAACTTTAACCTTCACACTGTTCTTCTATCCTCCTGCCTCTCTCCTCTCTCTTACCTCGTACTTTATACATCCTCTCCTCTCCTCTCCTCTCCTCTCCTCTCCTCTCCTCTCCTCTCCTCTCCTCTCCTTTCCTCTCTCCCCTCTTAGAGCAGCTGAAGAGTGGGTCCTGTGATTCAAAGCCCAGCCAACGAAACTCCACCCTGCGACGGGAACTCAAACAGTTCTTCGGCTGGGTCCGCAAGCACGCGAATGGCTGCAGTGGCATGTCGATCAAACTGTATGATCAGTGGAGGGTGTGGCTGCAGAAATCGCACAAAACACGCAACCAGGTAGGTAAGCGCAATCTCTCCCTTTCTTTTTACTATCTCTTCTGAGCTTCTCGCACAATCTGCCTCTGCTGCAGTGGAGTCCTGAAGTGATTCTCTGACCCCTCCTTTCTAAATTCATGTGGTCAGCATTTTTAAAAAACACAGAGGACTGACTTCTTCTGAGCTGGCTCTCTGTGAGGCTTCTTTCTCTGCTTTATTATAAAGGTAAAAATGTGCGGTTTTAACTTTACAGGCCCAGAAGTAGATGTGCTCTCAGTCATGCACTCTGATTTTATGACATATTTAAAACAGAGTAGACTTATGCCTTTCATCTGAGGACCACAACAAAGAGATAGGAACATGTTAATTTAGTTAAAGATGTGCTTCGTTTCTGTATTGTATGTTTCCTATTAGTATGAGAAGTCTTTACCGAAATAACTTAGGCCAAATGTCACGCTGAGCAACATCTTCTATGTGTTTGTTACTTTATGATGAGTTCCGATCTGTCAGCATAATCCTCTCAAACTCACAGAAACCTTCACTCTACCTTACTCAATCAGCTCAGTAGTGTCTGTGTTTTTGTGCTTTATAGGGCACACGCTGTCTCCTGAATAATGTCTTTGTTCTCTCACCGTGACAGGTTCCCATTGATCACCTTGAGAGAAATGTAGTAAGAGGGGGTGGGGCTCAAGAGTGATGTACTGAGAATAAAAAAAGAGAGATGATGCAAAGAAGGACACTGAGAAAAAGAGAATGGGGCAGCCAGACTAAGTGATTATTGTAATGATTGTAGATTACATAGTTTGCCACTTTAGTTTATCCCAGTTTGAACCATCTGTTTTTCTCGTTTCAGATTTTTCAAGAAGATAATTCATAGCATCACCACTGAGGATCACTGTGATGCTTAATTCAAGAATAGATTAGTGGCCCCGTGGGTCCCAGCTGTGTGAGAGGTCCAATGCCTCGCCTGAAGGATACCGCAGTGTTTGGTCATAAAGCCTTAACTTGGTTTTAAAGGGCCCGGGTGGAAGATGACTGAAGATAGACAATGCAGCCTTCTTCTGCTGTTTCCGCTGGCCAAATCTGTCTTTTAAATCTGTTGCAAAAACAGTCACATGCAGTCCCTCACTAACTAAATGTGATTCTTTGAAAACGTGAAAAAGTTAGCCGAGACATTTAGACTTAATAATAACCTCCTGCAAAAATATCTCTGATGCTGTAATAATGTCACAGAGGTTAAAGCATTGATAAAGTATCCTAAAAGAAATACAGGCTTATAATGTCAGTATAAATTAATGATTAATCTGTGCAAACATTAACCCAATTTTCATGGGTCAATGTTTAAGGAATTTCCAAATGTGTGAATTCACTGCAATTACAACTATTTTTGATTATTTCTATTACCGATTTAGCTGCTACTTTTTTTTTTTTTTGTAAATCAGTTGATGAATCATTTTATACATGTTTAGATGGTAAAGAATAAATGCAAAAGTTGATATGTGCAGCAGTATTTGTATTCTGTCTCAAATGTCTAAAACCCCAATATGTTTAATTTTCAGTGATTTAAATCTGAGAAAATCAGATGAGTGAATGTCACCACTTTTCTACAAAAGCCCTTTTATCTATTTTGAAAATAGCTTAGCTAGTGAGCTATTTTTTCATCAAACAACTTATCCATTAGGTTTCGGGTCTAACTAAATTCTAACCTAAGTAGCAAACTGTTTAACACGTTGCATAAAAACCTATTCTTAGTACTACTTTAATTTCACATGTTTTTTCACTAATGTTTTTTTTTTTTTTTTTGATGCATCAGTTATTTGATACCAATGAATTAAGGACTCCTCTGTAAAATGTTCATCAAGTCCTGTGTCTAAACAGACTGTTTAATCATATTATCATACTGTTCATATCTGTGTACCTTCATATTTTAAAAATGTTTGTGTTCTTTCACGGCCTCTTGTGTTCAGTGTATTAAACAGTAAAAAGTCAAAAATGTCTTGGACAGTGTTTTATTTAAAAATACAATTCATTAAGTAAACAAAAAGCTGGATGGGCCCAAGAAACTATTTACAAATCAAACATGGAAACATAATTTTTGTTTTTTCTGGCATGCATTTTCGTGAACACATGACTACAGATAAAAAACACACTGTGCCAGAATGTGAAAAGTCCCCTGGGTAAAATAACACTGCAGCATCAAGCAGGGTGGGGCCGGAGGGGGATCGATAAGTGAAGCTGAGGAGTCCCAACGTTGAAGTTGCAGCAGAGCCGAGCTGATCCGTCAGTGCTGCTGTCGGGTGATGTGAGAGGGCGGCTCTCGGCCTCTTGGGAGCTGCCCGTCAATCACACTCCTCAGAGTCATACTTAAAGTCCTGCATGATCTCACTCAGTGCCTCTTTGTTCTTGATGATCCTGGAAACAACCCCAAAACAACAATTGTTATTAAACAGTTTTATTATATTACCGTGGTAACAAAGAAAAGTCTGTTACATGAGGAGGAAGCAGGAAGTCCTGCAGCCGACAAACTGATAAACTCAGAAAACGTAGGGGTGGTAAAAGCTGCTCTTACTCATGCTTGATCTCTTGAATCTTTTCTTGACAGTCCTCCTCCTCGGGGTGATCCTGGGCCCGCTGCCTGGCCAGCTGCAGCTTGGCTGTCTGTTGAGAAGCACATCAGATAAGATTTATGCAAACCATTCATCAGCGGAGGACGGGGAGACAGAGGAAGGATTCTGAGATAATAGGGGTTTTATGACATTACTGGCAGAGGGGAAGTTGAGGTTACTTTATTAAACAAGTGTTAAACTTTATAAAACAGTGCTGCACATCACTGCTGAACACCAGATGGATGAGATGTGGACTGTTCAAGGATGTGGGAGGAACTGAAGCATAAAGATTTCAACACCAGTCTCTCTCAAACTGACTGTTCAAACATTAATGAGAATCTCAGACAGACTGCCGATTTCATGGCAGTGAATTGTAACAGGACCAGTTCAAACACAGGCACATCACTTTCTGGTTTAAATTTAACATAATTTTTGTTTGGCTTTAAAAAACTAAATAAACCTCTCCAGATGCATTGTGCACTCTCCTGACACAAGGACGTTTCACTTCAAACAATAAAACAAAACTTAAGTTTTGATTAAAAAAAAAGAATATCTGAATCTCTCACAATGTCCTGCAGTTATTGAATGTTTTGCATCAGAAGTCTGCCCCCTTGTTGAGAAAATAGGGAACTGTATTCAATGTTAAAGAGAGTGAACTTTTAAGACAGAGCTTAATTTACATTACATTGATTTGAAACTAAAACAAGTTTCACGCCTGTGTTTACTTTCTGGCACCACATACAAAGGGGCAACAGCATGCCCGCCCTGCTGGTAGCAGCCAACAAGTGGTTGAACAGGTCAGAACATGAGATGATTGTAGGGTAAAGGTTCTTTTAACTGCAGCTTCACATTCTTAAAAAGTGTTACATTTTCAAATTGAGAGAATGATTGTCGTCTTTGGAAAGGATAACACTGTTGCACACTAAGAAATATGCAATAGTGCATGTACAAAATGACTTGTGTGTAATGATGATCAGCTTAAACAACAGCATTTACACTTTTTGGGAGTTTGAATACTTCCTCTGCTTCATAAAAGGTCCTATATACTTAAAACTTTTGTTCCTCTGTTATGGTAAAGGCATGGCTGGTCACAACAGGCCAACCTGAGAAAGTCTTCCACAATGTTGACTGGCATGCAGTCAGATGACGGTCATTTAGCAAGCGCTGTCATCAACGTCATGGTTTCATCCACAGGTCTGTGGTGATTTGCACACTCCCAAAAAGTGCCCTGCCAGCTTTGTTGATGCAGTTGGCCGCTGACACCAGCCTGACTAGCTGCACCTGTATGTTTAGCTCATATGTGAAAGCTCAAACTCAAAGTGCTTTAGTGATATTTATTCTCTTTACCACAGGGTGCATATTACTTTTGACGTGTCAACTGAGCCAGGATTTTTTTTTTTTAAATTTATTGTCCTTGGAAATGCTTTTTTTTCCCCCAATCACAGCCGCAGCAGGAAGACACTACAGTGGCTTAACTACAATGTGCGGAAAGGGACAAAACAGCATGCGATTAATGGGATTAATAAAGTTTGTGTTATAGTCTGACGTTAATCACGCACGAGTATTGGCTAAAAGTAACAGCCCTAGTTTTATTGCATTTGGATGACTGAATTATTCAGAACACCTTAGCCAGTAAAACTACAAGTTGTTAGAGGCAGTCTGATAGAAAACAGCGTGTCCTGCATTTAGCATAATTATGACTATCAGTATCACAGATAACACGCTGAACACTGTCAGCCTGACAGCAGGGCATGAAGGCATATTCATGAAGACATATTCTGCCACAGATTAAATATAATGCCTTCCCTTCCAATAACTTCAGAAACTTCCAGAGATCTTGAAACCATGACTATCTAAAACTAAACATTTTAACACTTTGAATGATCAACACAAACCCAGTTACATACTTGGAAAAATAAAGGTGAGTAACATATTCATCGGACCATCCAACAACACAGCTAATGTAGTTTTAATTTATTAGTGCATACATGTTATTTCAGAAAAGATCCTCATCATGTACTCTGCATCCCTCTCAAAAAGAAAAGAGAAGGGTGTTTGCATACCAAATCCAGTTTCTCCTTCTCTTTGCCCTGCAGCTTGTCAATATGCTCGGTAAGGTCTGGTCGGTCAAAGTCATGATGCAGCCTCGCCTTGATCTCCAGCACCTCCGTGGAGATGCCACAGAAGGCCTGTGTTATCTCGTGGACCAGCTGCCTGTAGTGGTCAAAGTCATATTGAGGCCCTGTCCTCAAGTAGGCCTCGTGACCTCTGGAAGGAAGCCAGCAGCCAAAACAGCAACAAGAAGAAGAAGCAAAAAGACAACACAAGCTGAAGTGAATTTTGAAGGAAAGTTAAGATTACATGTTAACAGGAAACAACATGTGAGCGTACGGGAGCTTAGTTAAATGTATTTACTTATTCATAGTTTAGTAGGTCTAAAAAATATACAAACTCACTCTTCAAAGAGTCGATAGGTCTCTACCCGCTCAGACTGAAGGTGATAAAATCTCTGGATCAGACCTTTAAAGTCTGTAGGGATCTGCAGTGAGGGAGTGACATTTAATTAACAAAGAGGGTGATTTATTTCAGCATTGAGAGGACTGACACAATAGAAATTCACATAATCTACATTGAAAACTATTATAATTAAACATTACTTCATGACACCCCTTTAGTTAAAAAGGGTAAACACTTTTGATGTATCTGTATCCATATGATTACAAATGTATTATGTTTTGGCCTCTGAGTAAGCTTTTAAAAACAGTGATAAACTAACAAAAAAAATCTATAATATTGTTTACTTAAAATAGTAAGTTATACTTTACTTGATAGCCTTATTTTTTTTTTGAGTTTTGAATCAAATAAAGTCTCGTTACTTGGCTCATTTGCTTTACTAATAATTATATGACGAAATAAAAAGCAGCACAACAACTACAGCAACACTATCACGGTTAGCATTAGCCGGTCTTAGCTCAGTACGGCACATGTGGAAGTTTTGGTTTCAAGCTTCCAACATAAACTGCGGCATGAACATCAGATACTCACCATGGTAACCTCCTCTGAAATACTGTCGCTCAGTTTCTATAGTTTATAACAGTGACATGTTTAAATGGTCTGCTCAGGACGCTGTTTCTCGTGTGTTTATGTGAATCAGCAAACAGTCTTCCCTGTTCGCCGGATGTGACGAAGTGCGCAGTTCATGTTTTCAAAATAAAAGCGCTGATATAGAGATCGTGATAGGGATATTATCTATTATTATAGAAACCCGGTAGGCTAACGAATACAAAACAAATTTTAAACAAGACATTAAAAATGTTGCTCAAAATCTTAACTCTTTTAATTATACATTTTGAATGTTTGTAGCCCGCTAAAAAAAAAAAGATAGACTAGAATAGAATAGATGTTTATTGCCATTTGCACAGGTACAGGACAGTACAGGTACATTGGAATTTTTGTGCATTTCTCCCTGAGTCAGTTCTACAAATAAGTTAAAAGTAGCCTATGTATAAAATAGGATAGCAATATAAAAAAAGAGTAGAAAAAAAAAGTTGTAGTAACATCTAAAAAAATAAACTGTACAGACGCTATACACTCTATTGAAGCAAAGATATAATACAAAAAATTACAAAGGGAAACACTGTACAATGAAACTAAAATATAAATATGTTTTCTTGTCCCTCAAATTACATACATCTCTTACATCTGTTATTGCACCTGAGGTTATTGCACACACATTTTCTCACATTATATAATTGCACTGTTTTTTTTGTTTATAAGGTTAATATTGCACACTTGTATTGCACTGTGAGGTGGTCAGCTGTCATTTAGTCTGTGAGGTGTGAAGTACTTCCTTCCCACCTTAATGTCATGTGCTATAGTCTCACAGCAGCAGGGAAAAAGCTGTTGTGGTAGCGGGCCTTGTGGGTGGAGATGCTCTCTGGCCTGTGGTGTCGCAGGTTATAATGCAGGTGATTGGTGCAGGCTTAAAAGGCTTTGTTTGTTGCTATTCAAAAATGATAAGGTGGAGTGTAAGGAAATTTAAAGGCAGTCAAGTTGCAAAAAAAGTAACAAAAGAAAGCTGCATATTTTGTGAAATCAATATGGCTCGTCCGGTACTGTAAAAAAAAACCTATACAGTATGAAATTAAGATACAGTTTCAAATATTTATCATTTATCATTCCAATCCAACAATTAAACAGTCTAAGTTAAATATTTTTTTTATCATAATTTGATATTCATAATATGTACAAGGAGAGAAAAGACACAGAAGGCTAACCTGTTTGTGTGTGTGTGTGTGTGTGTGTGTGTTTGCTTGGTGCATGAACACCTTCTTAGGAGAAGAATGCAAGCACTTAGTTCATTTTTATTGCAATAACTTGTGTTGCTGACAGATATAGGTTCTTTGTCCTGCTACAGGCCATTCCTTAGAGTGTGAATATGATGAGGGGATATTAACAGGATAAACTGCTGACTTAATATTGTCATTAGAGATCGCTGGATAATCACTTTCTTGTTCTTTCTTTTATTCAATCTTAAACTTTTGTAATTTGTGGAGGGATATCATAGAGGTAGGCTACATGGAACAGTCTATGGGAGACATTGAAAGGTTTTATTTTGAAAGCGTCGTAGAGCAACTGACAGCAGACTGCAACGACCAATCAAATGTTTCTACTGTACATAGCCTACAATTAGCGACGCCTTTTTTTCTAATTAGTTACTGAAGGTGAATGTTAAAATGTATGTAAAATGCTAAATCGACTGACGTGATGTTTTATAAGTAGGCTATACGACTTTACCATACGATTATTTCCCCCAAAATACTCTTAGATGTAGCAAAGGGTGGTGAGTCCCATTGAAACATTTGGTGCTTAACTGGAGCTTGTAAGATTATGTTTATGCTGTTTGAAAGTATCATCTCAACATGGAGGAAAGAGGTCGTCAAGCTACTACTGTGCTGACGCGGGCACTCCTACGCCTTAAGTCGCCCTCTGCCGCTCATTGGTCCATTCAGCATCTTCAGCACCACGCAGCTGAACAGCGACACTCAGCCATGCAGCCTTCATCCGAGGAGGATGCCGAGCGGCATACGCTGCCCTACACGGCTACTGTCACACTGTTTATTTGACATTTTTTTCTGCCTTATTGCCCTTATATCATTAGTCTATAACAGATGTTGACAGTCGCTTTATTTGCAGCTCATTTTCTACCTCCTCTTCATCAGAAACGACCCGCTTGTGTCGTCTAACCCTGCAGGGGGAAGCCGTTTTTCCCGTCAGAGATGCACCCGTGTTTGGTTGGTTTCTCCGGGTTTCCATCACGTCGAGTCGGTAGGGATGACGGACTGTAACGTCGCCCGTCAAGTTACTAGCAGCAGCATCGTCTCATGTACGACAGTACCGCATCGACGAGTCTCAACGCCCGACCACAGGTCCCCTGCCGGCGCCCCGGTGTCCGCCGGTCCCCCGACGCCTCTTATGACATGACAGCTCGGGGTAGGAAGAAGAGGATCAAAGGTTACGGGCTTGGGTCCGAGCAGGAGCGAAGACGGGTCGGATCCTTGAGGAAGGGGCACAAGGAAACCCTGCACTGTTTGAGGATCACACCTGCATCAAAGATTCATGTGATACTTTTTTAATCCATGCAGGTTGTTTTCTCTTGGGAGATGAGAGTGCGGGGTTAGTCCCAGACCAGCGCCCGTGGAGCTGGTGTATGTTGTCCAGGGGGGACACAGGGGGATTGCATCTGGATTATATCATTGGATCCACCTGTCCCCCGCCCTGAAGCCTCTGACTTGGGCCTACAGAGTGGTAGCAACCACCTTTGCCTTACAGTTTACTCTGATGCACGGCCTCATAGTTCTGGTTCTGGTCCAGTCCCGGTCAGCAGCGCTGCTTCACAGGCCCGTAAGGCTTACTTGGCTGCTCCTGACCATCACCTTCACCTGCACCGCCATGGGCTGCATCCAGAGCATAGCCTGTAACAAGTCCCGGATCAAAAGAGAGAACATCGTGGTGTATGACCTGTCAGCCACCATAGACCATTGCTCTACTGTCATCGAGGAGAACTCGCCGATAGTGTTGCGATACAAGACGCCCTATTTTAAAGCCTCCGCGCGGATTGTGATGCCCCCTATCCCGCGCAATGAGACCTGGGTGGTTGGCTGGATCCAGGCGTGTACACAGATGGAATTTTACAACACCTACGGAGACGTCGGCATGTGAGTTCACACCTCTCTCACCTATGTCCCCATAACACCCCTGTGACGTGTGCAGACATAAAAAAAAAGTGCATGCTTGTCCACCCTTGTGCACCACACTGAGCTGCACAAGAGGAGCATTTGTGCACGCAGCAGGTTAACTGTGCTTGTCAGCCTGCTTCATTCAGACGCCCACTGGCAGATTCTGTTCCTGTGACTTTGGCACCTATATGGAAAAACTGCTATTAAGGGAGCTAAACAACAGTTGATACACTCACAGTCAACAGAGACATGTCCTCCCCCTACTCCCCCACACCCCCACATCCACACATTATCTGGAGGGCATATGTGAGGGGGTGTTTAATCCGCCTGGGTTTATAGCAAATGAGTGGGTGTAGGGGTGAGAGGATGGGATAGTGTGGTGTGGCATCAGATTGGGCTTAAAGGCACAACATGGACGAGGGCCACCAGATGACAAAAACTGCTGGGCACAACAAAGAGATGATGATAATCCTCTGCTGACACACTGAACCACTAGATATCATTTTCAGGCGGCTGTTGTGGTCTCACTGTAAGCTTGGAGATAAATTATATAGCCTATCCCGTTAGCCTACTTCTTACACCCTGTTCTTTTAAATGACAATTCATAGATTTTTAAACACATTTTTAAACAATTCTCTATCTAAATTTCAGAAAACATATAGATAATAAAACACTATGACTGTAGGCTCATTTTGTTTGTGTTGACCACTGTAGAAAATGTAAGTATGAATGATTCTTCCATTAACGCCTTTAGTCTATAAATACAAATTGAAAAACACCAGCACCTTTTCTTCAAGATGACCTTCATACAAATGATTACTTAAAAAGGTTAGTTAAAGATAAGTTTCTGCTGACCAGAACTTTCAGAGCCATGGATACTACACTAGAAGAGTAGTCCAGGGAGTGCTGTAAACTACTTCAAGCTTCAGCTACATTGAAAATACAAGTCGGTTAGATCAATTCATTGTTAGTCCATTCATTGTATTTTTTTGGTTGAAAATAAAAAAAGAATGGCACACAGGTACTCATTGTTCCAGGTCTCATTCTGTCTGTCTAACCTCAGGTCGAGCTGGGAGCTTCCTCAGCTCCGAGAAGGCCTGGTGAGGGCCATCAGTGACTCCGACGGTGTGAGCTACCCCTGGTACGGAAACACAACAGAGACCGTCACCATAGTGGGCCCCACCTCCAAGCCATCCCGCTTCATCGTCAGCATGAATGACAATTTTTACCCCAGCGTCACCTGGGCGGTGCCGGTCAGTGAATCCAACACACCCTTGTTGACGAACATTAAAAGAGACCAGAGCTTCACCACCTGGCTGGTGGCTTTAAACACCACGTCCAGGGAAAAGATCCTGCTTCACACCATCAAGTGGAGGATGAGGGTCGATATCTCTGTGGATCCGTCCCTGCCTCTGGGCTCCAGGGCCAGGCTGGTGGGGCGGGTGCACCAGGACCAGCCGAGGGTGCTGACCCGCATGGAGCCCATCCCTCCTAATGCAATGGGGAGGCCCAACGCCAATGACGCCCAGGTTCTGATGTGGAGGCCAAGGAGAGGGCCTCCACTTGTTGTCATACCACCCAAGTAGAGCAATGAGAGAATCTGTTTGGTGGTTTACTATTTCTGCAGTGCAAACAAAATAATCAGAAGAAAAAAAATGAAGGCTGAGACTTAAACTGTCACTGGCATAAATCTTAGTTGCAGTCTTTGGTGTTGAAAATCTTGAGGTGACAATTGCCTTAATTCCAAAACGCTGCCTTTGACGATCTTGAAAGTTTGTTTGTCGCCACTTCTGGTGCTGATGAGCTGTTTGGCCTTCAACTCAACCCAGCACATCTGAGCAAAACTTTGAAAATCTGCCATTAGTGCTGGGATTTAACACAAACTTGTACTGTAGCTACTCAGGCCCAGAAAAAACAGACCCTGTTTAAGAAGGTTCTTCAGCCTTAATGATGACATAATGCTAGCCTGCTCTGTACTGTACAGTAGAGTGATGTGTAAGAGGCTAACAAAGGAGAGGTAGTAGTATTTATGTGTTAAACAGGACAACACTGCTGCACAGTTTATTTGTAAGGGACAAAGATAAGTTTCATATTAGTGGACATGTTCAAAAATGATATGAGTGTGAGTTTACAAGCATGTGTGCACCTGCTTGTGTGTTTTCTACAATTGAGCCTAAGGGTTGGGTCCTGGCTTGCTGCTTTGTCACACCAGACTGCCTCACATAAACACACATATACATGTGGCATTATGCTACAAGGAAGGTAAGTTTTAGGATAACCTAAACACTGAAAGATTGTCAACATACATGCATCCTCAGAGCTACTTTACGTTTTACATATCCCAGAAAATGTAGACACATGGATTTGGTGACATGCACACAGTTTATGCATTTAGAAGAATCTTAAAAGAAGCCCTGCACTGGGATTTTTCTTTTAGAATCACAAATGTCCAGTTCATCAAAGCTGCAGAGCTTCTCCATCCCTGCCTTTTGAAAGCCATGATGCCTGTGTTGATGACAGCCTTTAAAACAATTTTGTCTATACCATGTCCAATGTAACCAGATCTATTGGGTAAAGAAACAAGAATGGTACTGTACAGATCATGAAATTAGTCTGCTTTCATTTGCAAGCAGAGCTTGCAGATTGTAGTAAAAGGGAATTGTATTAATGTGACAAGACTTAAAGAATCAGGTTGTGTGAAGTACAAAAACTTACCTCTTGCAGCATGTAGCCATGCAGATTTTTGGGACTTTATTTGTTGAAGATTTGAGTTGTGTGTCAGTGAAATTTCTGTCTCCCAAACAATACAGTTGAGATGAATTAACTTTTAACACTAGTTACTCTTTTCACTCTAAAACTGCATTTTAACAACACATCAACAAGACAGAGAATGGTTTAAACATATTGTTAACTTGTCATTGTCAACAATGCTAACACCCTCATGTTTGGTTTATTATCCATATATGCTCATATGGATGCATGCTATCAGTTATGAGCACATAAGATAATGCAGATGACACTGATGGGAATCTGCATGTTTGCAGTCTTAAACCAAAGCATTTGACAGTGACATACTGTATATCTTTGGGCAACCTTAAGGTTGGGAAAGGAAAAATGTTAGGATGCTGAGCATACATTTAGGGTAACTGACAAATCCTTATTATTTTCCTGCTCCTTGACTAAATGGCACTGAGTGAAACCCCAAGTTTTAAACAGAACAGATACTTTAAAAGCCTGTGGTGAGACAACAGCTAACATAAGCATTTAAACTTGTATTTTTCAGCCACTTCTTGGCTAACAGTTCCATTATTTGATAAGATTACATTATGGTAGTTACTCGATAAAATTGTAAAGGCCTTAAGTTACTAGCTAATATGTTAGTCAGGGATATACTGCATGGCTCAAATTTAGCTAGGAACTTACTTCAGAAGTAATGTACAAAGAGCTAGGAAATTTCCTAATGCTAGCGTTAGCTGCTCAATGGTAGCTAATGGGTTAAAATAGGTTGTTTGATGCTAAAATATGGCCCCATATCCATTAATTGTAATAGTCTTTCAGTAACCGAACAACCAAGAAGAAATTGTAACAACTTTGTGATAAGGTAACGACTTTTCTAACATTCACATAACTTAAAACTTGGGAGCAGTTCAGTACAACATTATAGCAGCATCTGAGCTACAGGCCCTGAGAGAGACATCAGGGGAAATGGACACTATTTGAATATGGTGAATAGATGGAAATGAAATCTTCCAAAGCTTGAGTATCACAGGTTGCTGTCCATTCATCTACATTGTATAGGACAGAGGCAGACATTTCAGGGGCGGTTGTCTCAAAACCTCAAAATACTAAGTCCAAGTTATCTACGTGGCATGGTATTGATAGAAGTCAAGAAAAGTGTTTTGTTTGTATTTTTGTTGTTGTTGTTGAAGTGATCCTTTAAAGACTGGTGTAGTATTTGGTTTACAGACATGCAGTCTCTCGTGCCATTATGATGTTTGACAAAATGTGTTTTTATGAGGACAAATGAGTGAAATTGAAAACCAGAGTGCAGCTTATAGAATATGAGCATTTCAAAATCATGTTGAATCTGAAAATGTTAATTTTGTATTTTGAGATTGTTCTATATGATGTTTTTCTGTTTGGACACACTCTGAACACATCTGGCCAGTGAAACAGGACGTGCTGAAGTGCTGAGCTGGTCCAGACAAGACAGAGATGAAGAGAGACAGAGGATGCGAACACCTCATCTTACCCATGCTGCTCATTTCTCCTGGTGCAAACCAACGAGCCTTCACACACTCACCTGATCTAGAATGACACAAGAGCTGTGATCAGCTGAAGAAGCGTTGTGCCTCTGTATTGTGCTATAGAGGGAGTACACTCTGGATATTTGAAACATGCATATTGTAGCCATGACACAGGAGCATTTTTGAGGCAGACAGCAGCTGACAATCAAGGGAAACATCCGGAGCAGCACTTTTAACTGGAAAAAAAAATAACTAGAAGATCTATATAAGTCTGTGATTTTATTCAGTGGTTTGGAGCTTTTTTAGGCTGAAACAAAGGGAAAAACTCTTTTTCACGTTGCACAGTTTAAAATAAATTGTCGGCAAAAAAAAAAAGAATTTATTATTGACCCATGAGGCCACACAGTCTGTCTGTATATGAGGACCTCATGTGTGTGTTACAAAAACAGATGTGCCTGAGGAGTGGTGGGTAGAGCAACACACAGCCCCTCATGGGGAGCGAGTCATTTATCCTACTCGTTCTGCTGATTGACTGGAGTTTAATGCAGTTATGGGTTTCAAATGGCTGGGTAATGGTGTTTTACAGTGTCATGATATAAAGACATGAATCCCTGACGTCCTTTCTCTCAGACTGTCTGGCTTTTGCATGCAGTGTTTTTAAACTCATTAAAACAAATGCCAGAAATATCAGTGTGAATTAATTCCTGTTATGTAGTTTGCAGTTCTACAGCGCTGTGCCAAGTACTAAATTAGATTAGAGGTAGACGTGTTGTTGTGCTTCAACGTATTCAAGAATCAGATGTAGGGGGATAAAATGTTGAAAGAATGACAGGTTGCTAGGACAGTTCATGAATTAGAAATGATTAGGAGAAGAATATGTTACTGCAGTCTGAGTTGAGTTTCTCAGCAAGCTAGGGCCCTTTGATTTTACAAGGTCTGACAGGACATACACAATAAACGCAACACAAAAACACATTCAGAAAGTTTTTTTTCCTTTTATAAAATATTCAAATATTGGATATTAAAACAATTAAGTTCTTAATTATACCCGCTTTATCACCAAAACCTCTGCTCTAAAGGAAAAACATTAGTAATCACACAATGCAAGGATTCTTTCTATATGAGAAATGCCTGACGGATGTCTCTTGTAATCAGAATCTAGAAATCAGAATCAGCCCGATCAGATTTCGCTGGGCCATATTCAATTGTTTAATTATTTTATCAAAAAATTTAAATTATTTATTTCTTCATGAGACCCTAACATAATGAGTTGGATGATTAACACCAATGGCTTTGAAAATGTGTTATTTCCTAATGAATGAATAAATAAGTCACAAGGACAATTCATTTGGATTTAAAGATGAAATGGTGCCATTATTTACACCCAAGAGTAACATAATTTCAAGTTTACTAAAAACTTTTGACCATGTAATGAAAATTTAAACAAAACAAAAAAAATATGTTCCAAATGAACCCCTGGAAAAGTAGAGAGCAGTATTTCTGACTTGAAGTAACATTTTCCTTTAAACCCAGATTAGTTTTAATCATAAAACCAGATACAGAGACCAGACTCATTCAGTAAAACATATCTGTCACTGAGACACACACTTATCAAAGACGTCCAAGTGATTATATGTTGCCTGGCAACAGAACACATTTCCAAAAATAGCTGAAACAAATGCAACATCAGAGCCATCATTAAGGGCACAATACCTTATGGTCATTATGAATTCTATATAACCAGACTGAAGGCTCCTGGTGAATTGAGTTTTGACTTCCAGGCAGAGATTAATCTTAAGAAGAGTACAAATCTTCCCTCTTCAGCATGGTCTTGATCGTGTAATGTTCACAGCTTTAGAGTATGAAATGGATTGAAGGGCTCATTACTGAGAGGAACAATTGTGCTTTCAGAGCTCAGAGTGGAACAAGAAAGACTCAGACCCATAAATACTGCAACTCTAAGGTGAACTAGCCAACAGTGTGGGCATATTTCCCCCACTTTTTCCCATTTTTAAATAACATGTCCTGCCTGTCTGCCTCTTTTGTCCACTACAGTACAGGTATGATTGATGTGGCATTTACAATGGCAGTCAATTGGGTTCTGAAAAAAACAAAAAAAACAATCAGTAGGTCCCGACCAGAAAACCACTCCAGATCTGGAGCTGTGGCAGCTAGGATTATCTCAATGGCTGCAATTATAGGAAAATGAGAAACACAATCCTATTGCCACAGTTTTCTTTTCTCATTGGTTACCCTTCTTAACGGAGGCACTATTGGTGTGTGAGACCAATCACAGCACTAATCTTGCTTATTTCATTAGCCTTCTTTTTCATTCTCCCTGTTAACAGTCTGCTTACCTCCTCTCCTCCTACTCCCCTGCTCTCTGTTAGTAATCAAAGTATACAATAAAGACCTTTCCCCTTCTTTCTCTCCAGTTCTCTGTCCTCCTTTCCCCTCCACGTCTTGACGCCTCATCAGGACCTCCTCCTGCTGCTGTAGTGTAAGCTGTGAAAGTCCTACGCCCTGCTGGGGTTGGAGGACGGCTTGAATTCGTAGCCGTACAGGAAAGTGGCCATGATAACGAAAATGGCCCCCAGGAAGAACATGCTGTGGAAGACAGAAGACAAAACGGTCAGGTAAAGAAATAATGATTATGCGACAGAAATACCAAACATTCAGAAAAGAGTGAGAGACGTAAGGTCTTATTTATTTCTACCCGGAAGGGTCGAAGTCCTGAAGCAAAAAGTATGATATCAGTGTTGACAGGATGATGGAGAGCGACGTAGCAAAGCCCTTGAGGATGTTGTCTGCATACTTGATGACCGCTGCAATGACCAGACCCCCAAGCGCCTGGAGAAACAACAAACACACAGACACAGATGGACTGAGGCATGACCTGTACTGGCCCACAGAGAGTTTGCTCCAAGAAATAAAAAGCCTGTGCTGTGAGAACTGATTATGTATTGAACATTTTTGATGGGAAACGTGTTGAATCTGTAGAGTGGGCGTTACCTGCAGTGCAACAACAGTCCAGGTGATTGTGTTGTATCCCTGGAACATTCCTGACTCCCTCACCCTCTCGCCATCGTAGGCCAGCATCCCAAAGAGTCCAAACACCAGGCCGAACATACCTGGAAAAATACACCGAAGTAAATGACTGAGCAGAAACTTGGATAAATGTTGCCCCAAAGGTTGTTTCTCTTTTAATATAGGTATGAAATTAAATCAAAAGAACTAAAGAAGGGAAACACATTTGTCAGGGGTTATTCAAAATAAAGTCAAGATTAGTCCTTCCAAAACTTTAAAGAAAATGTAGCAAAGTACAGAGACAAAAAGAAAGCGATAATTTTGAGGGGGGTGGAGACAAGCCCAAAAGTGCTGACAATAAGGAAACTAGCATGTTGATATTCACCAGGAAAGTTTTTTGCATGTTTATATTCTACAATTTGTTATTGCTTTAGTCCTGAAATAGTTAAACAAATTACCATCAAACCCTAATTTAAGGTTTACACATCTACATATTAATAAATAATGAAAAAAAACATGAATTTATGAATTTTAAACATGCTGAAAGTTGGATTCTTTTGTTACTTTTTGGGCGAAGCTAGTTGTTTCCAGAGCACTTTTCTGGCTCAAGCTTCATATTAATGATGTGAGATGTATCAACAGGGCTTTTCAGATTTTGTTATTGCAAAAGCGCCTTAACTAAGCTCAGCCATTATTTAGTCTATTTTGCATTCATACTGATTCTGCAATGGCGTGATATCTTGTTCCCAGTCTAATTCACCCTGCGTTTCGGCGTTGCGGAGCGAGGCACAGCGGGAGCTCCACATAAACACAGAGTCACACACAGCACTGTGTCCCCCGCTGTTGGTTCAGCTGATCCACTTCGTCCCTCCATTACGCCTCTATAACCTTCTTGAAGGTAAAACACCACATGGACCTAAATATGGTGCATTGAAACAGCAGTCTGAAAAGGACTAAAGTTAGCATCAAAATTGAGTAAATAAGATGTTTGTTTTTTTTTTCTTTTAGAAAAATAAAACTATTCCTTATTTGTCTTGCCAAGATGCATACTAAATACTTTGCATTTTCTTAAATTTTCCCTAGTATTATTTTCAGTTTTCATTGTGACTTTGCACTCATTTTAAATCTTGTGGAAAATGCTCACTACATATCTGAGCCCAAAGTGACATCTCCAGATTGTTTCTTTTGTCATATCAACAGCCCAAAAATGTTTAAGAATTAAATCAAATTGAGATATAGCATGTATACTCCAACAGAAATATTTTTAAATTCTTGGTCAATAAATCCATAATTTTTCCAGTATTTCCTCAGTTCCCTCATTTCACATTACTTGTCTCCACATTTACTTCTCAACTCCTATTTGCAGATCTCCAGAATATAATGCAGGTGAAAAAGCTACAATCTCACATCGGGAATCACAGAAGACGCATGGCTCAAATGTCCAGGGTAAAAATAAACTAGACAGGAACATTCATCTCTGCTGAAACATGTCAGAGGTAAAAGCCCAGCTGGCTCTCTAAGGAGAAAACTGTGCACACAGACATACTGTTAGTTTACCTCAGAAACATGGAGGTAGAGCCTTTTTCATCTGTTTTCAATGAAACTCTAAAGAGGGTTTCTTTGAGAGTTGATGTGCTTTTATAAAATTCTGTAAACTTGAACTTTACTTTGCAGTGTATTGAATCAAACTATTAGTTTAAATTGTGCCGTGTTTAAGCCCGATTGATTAATGATTGATTGATTGGATTGACTGGGACTGACCGAGCTGGATGTTGCGAACCCAGACGCTCTGTTTGCTCTCCTTGAGGATCTTCTCGAAGTAGACCCCAGCGAACCCACTGGAGCAGCACGCCACCAGCACAGCTCCCACACCCACAACCTGGGAGCCTGCAGAGAGGGCCTCCTTCTCTGGGGCCTTTTCAGACTCTGAGGGCCACTGCAAACACAAGAGAAACACTAGGATTACAACAAACCTCCACCTTTTAAATGAACCCTTGATCTTAACTGCAGTAAAAGAACAATCACTTGCGAGAACTTAAGTTAAATAACAAAACAAAAAACAACAGTTTTTGGTCATAAATGAAGCCCATTGGTTTAAAAAGAGAACAACACTAAGCTGTTACTGGTTACATGTGTCTTTTAAGAGATGATTTAACCAACGGCCTCGCAAAGAAATGGACTATGGACTAGCACATAACCCAGAATGACAACTTGTTTTTACAAATCAAACAAATGTAACACCATGTGAGGATCAGGGACATTTTTCACCATGAAAAAAAAGGGATGTCTTCTTTTTGGACAATGGCCTTTCAATCATAATGAAACCCTGTTAAATTAGCCTAAACTCTCCTCTTTCATCCTGACCCCGTGAAGACATGACCAGGTAAAGTATTTGAAGCTCTTGTAGAAGTTACCGGACAGAGTAACCCTGATGGGTTTAATACCCCCACTTGGTATCTCATTTCGGGAGACTGCAATGAATAATTGTCTGTATACAAGTATACAACAATACTACAATCATGTTCTTAGTATGACATGAACTCTCTCTCTCATGGTTAACAGAGAAAGTCTCTGAATCCAGAATACTGGATCCATGAAATTCATACAGAGGCATCTGCACATGTTTTCCGAGCAGTAAAAATGCTGCAGAGAGAGTTCATGTGCTATGTGCTGCAGTAAGCAGGAAAATGAGACTTAATGCAAAAAATAACAACAACAAAGGAACAAAAAAAGTGATGATCTCTGGTTGTGCACAGTAAGAACAAATGAAAAGTATTGAAGCTGCACTTTTCCTTGGATAGAGACAAAAATAACAGAACAAGTTAGAAAAAAAAATCCTGAAAGAAATTGGAACATGATTATATTTGTTTTCACCTCTATGTGTATATATATTTTTTTAATGCTAAACAGGCCAATTATTTTTTTTAGCAGATTCATGCTGGGTTTTCAGCTGGTTTACTTGTTAGTGGGTGATACTGTTTGCAAACACAACAGCTGCTGTGGATTTGTGTGATACATCCTTTTTTTGTTTTGTCACCATCATATTCCTGGTTACACTGTTGAAGAGTAAACATTTGCACCGGTCTGATCCTGTAGGTTTATCAAGGTGTTTCTTCATGTTCCCCACCCTCATTGTGCTTCTGTCTGAGACTTTATTGTGCTTCTGTCTGAGACTTCTGTCCACCCCTCCTCCTCCTCCTCCTCCTCCTCGAGAGGAGGAGGAGGAGGAGGAGGAGGAGGAAGCAACATCACAACTGTCAACACTTCATCCTTTATTAGCACATCCTGTTGAACCACTGGCAGACAGTATTTATTTAGGGTTGTGGCAACGTCTATCTCCATTCTTGCCTTTTTGTAGACTGCACTCTGCTTGGCCTGACTGCTGATCTGTTTATTCTGTTATCTCCCCGAATTCCCGCCTTAGGTTTGTCTATGAAAGTAATTCATACAGATATTTTTTTAAATGTGCTATATAAATAAAGTGGTTATTATTATGATTGTGATTATGTCAGTACCTATTTCACAGAAGCTAAAGGCAGGGTTTGTAATTTTCTCCAGCTACACATCATAAGATTTTGGTTAAAATAGTCTTTAGGTCCTGACAGACATTAATAATTCATGTGATCTGAAAAACGAACAAAGAAAATTTCATCTGTAGCAGTTGTAAGCCTGTAAAAACTTTGACCAATGTCTGCCACGAGGTCCCAATCTGATGAACCAATCACGCCTCTCTGTCTCCCTGCTCATTCTCTACCCCATGCGTGCACGAGCCCACACTCTGAGCGCACACTAAGGTCCGCTTCTGGAACAACAGCCCTGTGCATGTAAGTGAGGGGCGTGGCTTTTGAAGGAGAACAGAGGGGAGGGGAGGTGGGTGAAGACACAGCACTGAGGGAATGCTACTTTCCAAATCATGCTAGTTTTTTTAAATGACCAACCCTGCCTTTAATCACAAAGAATTGTTCTGTTAGAAAGGCTTCAGAGATGCTGAAAGTGCTGCAAGGACAGAACTGTTGGTTCAACCGCACATCTACTATGCTCTATTAAAACATACATATGCTAATCTAAAATACAAAGTCAACAAGTGATTTATTTTGATCAAAGAGTGCAATACTAAAAGCTTAAGATCGGTAAAATCAGGGCTTGCTGTTTAATCGGAAATATTACTATATTGCACTTTTATTTAATATTGTATTTCTACCTATTGTGTTGTATCATGGCCCCGCAGAAACAAAATTGAATTTCACTTAAGGTTGAAATGACAATAAGGAAACCTGAAATTTGAATGATCCTGTTCATACAGATGTCTATGCAGGCTTTAGCCTCTATATTTCCATTGAATTATGATTTAAAAACAAAATGTTAATTCTGTCAGATTATGAGGCTTGTAAAAAAAAAAAAGCCTAAACTATTTTAATAATGTGTTGCTATGTAGATATCAGAAAATGTGGTACCACAAAAAACTCATGGCTTCACAAGCATGAGAGTACTTTGGGCAGCTGAGACTGTGTCTCTTTATAGAGGATATAAACTATACGATGAAATCATCAATTCAAAGCAGCTACTCCCAAGAACAATAACTGGCTCTATGTTTCTACTATCTTCTATTTCTAAAGATGGAGAAGAGAACCACGTGATTTCCATCACCACAAGTTATGAAAATACATGAAGCTGTACTGCACCTGCACAAGAGCCACTCCGGCCATAAGAATAAGTAATGAGAGCCACTGATAGATGCCCAGTCTGCGGCCCAGCATGGACACAGAGAACAGCGCTGTGGTCAGGATCTTTAGCTGGTATGTCACCTGATGGAGAAAAAGTGTCAGGAGTTACATAATCCATGAACAAATGACCAAATGGGTCAACAAGACAGATAAGCTCCTTTGTGTTAAACACTCAGTCATGTTTTGAATCATTCAGGTTTGGATGATCTCCTCTTAGATCTTCTGTACCTGGTAGGTGGCTGCATCCAGGTTGGACAGTGCAACATACAGCAGGTTGTTCTGAAGGGTGTAGATCCCTGAGGGGATGGCCAGCTTCAGTGTTTCTATAGGTTTATGGGCAATTTCCTGACGGAGGACACTGTTGAGAGCTCGCACACTGTACTCTGAGAAGTGAAAAATAGGACAGGAGCAACCTGAATAAACTGATCGAACCCATTTAGAGACTGAGTAGAAATTCAAACCACTGCATATTGTGTTTATTTATTCAGGTAGGTTTGAAACCACGTGTCCAAAGCAATGGCAAGTAATAGAAGCTGACGCTATCCTTCTGATATTAAATAAAACATGTTTCGATTCAAATGTTGATTTAGTCTTTTTTTCTAAATATGTTAGGAAAAAAACTCACATCCAACACATCTGTATTATTTGTTTAAAACAATCCTACACCATAACTGCCATGACTCATCACATTTAAAGCGATACTTCACCCGTTGAAACATGAATCTGTATTGACATTGGGTCATATATGCAGAAGAGATGTGAAATAAATGTTGAAGTTGGTGCCTTCTTGGCTGTGAAAAAGGCAAAAGTGTCTTTTTGGCTCATGTGGATGAAAGACACCAAATCCCAGAATGCACAGCACCGCAGGGCACTCCCACTAAGGTCCTCGATTTCAGAATCAGAAATACTTTATGAATCCCAGAGGGAAATTCGATTGATACAGTTTCTCCAAAATATAGTATAAGCAGTAGAAATATAGTAATAAAAACATTTACAGACATATTTACTTCAACACATGAGGTCATTTCCTCAACAGATTTAGAGATTTCTTCCAGAATTGATCTTGGAAATTCCTGTCAGAAAACAGACTCTATGTCTGTGTCCATAGGGAAACAGTGAGAGCACCGACACTACCAGTCTGCCCCAGCTCGGCGGCGGCAATATAGCTGCGAGACGGTTGCTGCCAACAGGACGGTGTTGTGTCGCAGCAAGCTTCCGGTGGCTGGGCTCGTGGCGGCCAAGACCAGCCGGTCGACAGCAGCCGTCTCTCCGCTATATTTATAATTTTTCGCCATTATCAGCTTTCTCCATAGAGCCTGTTAGCATAGCTTCCAAGCAATATGACGGCCGTTAAGTTTCGATTCTGGGAGTGAGTTCCCACCCACTGATCTGTGATTGGTCTGTAGCTTCAGTGGTCGAAAATAACCGCAACAGCTTCCAGTGACGCAAAAATCGTCATTTTGCGTCACTGGAAGCTCCTTTTCAGACTTAGAAATACAAAGATTTCCCATCTCAGGGGAAAATGAGGGCGTGATGCACGACCATTCAAAAATACTACCAGGTTACTAATGATACAAAGCTTAACGCAAATGGGTGAAGTATCCCTTTAACATTGGTTGGTCTCTTCAAATCATATCTATGTTTCGATAAGGACTATAATTTTATTGGGAGTTTAAACGATGATTCAGTTCTTCTGATTACAACACTAAGCCTTCAATGTGAGGCTCTGCAGCTTTGAGCCACATGTGCATCGCGTCAATGTGCACTCACTGTGCTCTTTGAAGACGAGCAGCACGCAGGTGAAGATCTTCATGACCTCGGCCACCACCACAGCTGAGGAGGCGAGGTACCGCGGGCCCTCCGCCTGCAGGGTGCGGGAGTACCGCATGGTGAGCACCAGGGAGGTGGTCTGGAACACCAGCACGCCCAGGGAGAGGTACTTCAGCCGGGACGACGCCATGACCACTCACCTGCTGGAAGCTACAGGTGAAGGTAGAGCTACAGGAAAGGAAAAAAATACGAAATTGCATTTACAATAAGTGTAGGTGCTGTTGTGATATAATAAAGGAGGTTAATACAGATTCAACAAAAAGAGTTTTATACTCACAAAACAAACACTGCTCTCCTTTCTAACCTGTGAAACCAACTCTTCAGAAAGTAAAACCTTTAAGACTGAAACCCCCCCCTCAGTCTTCTCTGTTATCCACAGTTCTCTCTTCTTCTCTCTCTCAGACACTCGGACCAGGTACTGGGGGCTCAACCCAGCTGTCAAAACAGGACCACTTCAAATCCTGGCGTCCATTGACCCTCTCTGGATCTCAACCATCCGCTCATATCGTCATATTATCTTCTCACGGTTTCCACTCCGGCTGCCCCATCACTTAGTGTCATTACGGGTTGATTTACCGTTAGAAATGAAAGAAAAGAAAAGAAAAAAGTCTACCAAGTGGAAACAAATGCATGCACGAAAAAGATCCTGGTTGACTTCCGTGTACATGCTTTCTTCCTCGTCCCTGCGTCAAGGCTTCCGGTGCTAACCAGCGCCCCCTGCTGATCTGACGACAAACTGTGAAAACCTTACACCCAGTACCCTATAAAAAGATTATATTCTCTATATTATAAGGCTCTGGTTACACCTACATGAATGGCAGTAAATGGAAAAGATAAGGGATGTTATATAATATAATACGATTTTAAAGTACTGTTTAACGGCCCCAAACCAATAACCGTGTGACGTAAACATATAAATGAGGACTTTTCTGAACAGGGATCAGCATCATAAGATTCTAAACTAATTTGAAGGTGTACATGAATGTCTTTTTAGTCTCCCTCCTTCGAACTGGACAAACGACTCCATACTGGTATGAGAAGTGTCATAAACTGTCACCACATACCTGAAGTGTGTATGAACTGTGTTACCTGACGGGGAGCTTTATTTATTTTTTTAAGTATTTCTCAGTTGGTGTTCATAGCTCTAATGTGGTGGTACAGTGGCCGACTGGCCGTTGTTGTAAAAAGAAGAAAAGACACTAGAATACTTGAATAGGCTATATTCTGAAAAAAAAAAACAGGGTTATCAGTTGTTTTAGAATATTTTAGAAATTAGAAAGTTTAGTAATTTATCAGACTGTCAATGCTTTCAAAATTAAAACAAAGTATTGTTTTCTCCCACCTGTGATGTTTCTATACATCATTGAAGGGTATTTTACTGATGTCGTTCATTAGTAGGCTATAACTTAACATTGTAGATGGGAATGAAAATATTGAAATTTTCAGTCCAAATACACCCTGAGATTGTCAATCAACCTTTCAGTTTAAGTTCAAATAGTTGTATTAGCATTTATTATTTACTCTGAGGAGTCGAGAGGTGTATTCACTGATGAATTCAACTTTTTGTCTTTGAATATTTGTCATTTCAAAACTTTCATACATCTAAGCTTTCAGCCGTTTGATGAAACAAATCAGGATCAATTGAGTCACAGCATCAACATTCAGAAAACATGAAACTTTTCAAATGAAGACACGTGCAAAAAATTCTATGACGATTTGGACTTTATTTCAGTAAGCACATTTGGATGATCATTTGGTTTTCTGCAAAAGACAACTTATTTTTATCATCAGTTTTAGTTCTTCTACCTTATAAAACATGGTGACAACTACTTCATATGACACGTAAATGTTAAGCTATTTGGTTAACAGGAAAGTAAAATAAAAAAAATAAAATATTTTATATACACAACATGGACACGTGGTCTTGCATATGAACGGAAATGACATGCTCAATTCTTTAAAAAAAAGCTGACTGACACCTCAAAGTAGAGTATTTGTATATGCTTTTGAAACATTAGAACAGGCACAATAATGACCTAATGTGTGTGTTCGATAATTGTTGTGTAATTTTCAGACTTGCCAGGGTAATTAATTTAAAAATGATTATTTTTACCAAAATTGTGTCATGTATAATCTTTCTCACCAAACACACTGGAAAGAGGGCAGAAGCTGAAAGAAATTAGGAAATGATTAACATTGTCTGAACATGTTTTATCCGGTCTTAAGGACACTGACGCTTCTTTAAGGAGAATATAAAGCCATTGAATGATTGTCTCTGTTTAAGGAGTGGTCGCACAAAGCTATGACATGTATCATCTCTAAGAAGGAAGAAAAAAAAATACTTTTCTGAACCTTACAAATACCCAGACTTAGTCAATGAATCATGACAATCAAAAAGGTGCAAAGATGCACTGATTGTAGTCGAGCAAAACTGGTTAAATGATTTTGGAGGACAAAACATTAAGTAAGAGGCAGTTCAAAAGATCAAAACACGCACCTCTGTAACATTCAGAATCATCGAAGAAGTGCGAACAGGATTTATAAAAAAAGAAACATTTTTTTAAAAAAAGTCAACAAATCTTTACCATACTGAGCTCAGTAACAACAAGCAGAATGTGCTGTAAGTCTATGTACATTTCAATACAGAACAATCTAAAACTAATGTATTTATTTGCATAAAGTTTGTCAAGCTTCTGAAAGAATCCCTCCACAACAGATGAAGTATAGTATATGGTCTGTGGCAAAACATCTGCATCCAAACAATATGATTGTAACAGTAACTGCCCTCAAAACAGGGATAACACTCTGCTTTCTTTCTGCACCTATAACATCCAAATTACAAATGCACTTACTAACACTTGTGTGTGTTCAGAGAGATTACTTTAGATGGGAAACACTGATATAAAACTGTAATCAAAAAAGTAAATAAACTAAAGTTTTTTAGTAACATGCTTCTGTTTGCATCTCTTAATTATCTGTGATTTGTTGTTGTCTGTCTTTCTAGTCATGCAACAGCATTTTATAAAAATCCTGCTTTAGCACATTAAAACATAAAGCATGAATAAAAACACAAAAAAAGGGAACGACTAGGTAGTTTTGCTGAAGTAAAGCATCAACTGAAAGTGGCCCATAATTTTAAAATCGAAGAGTGAATGGTTCAACACAAAGTTAGTATTGGCAGGCTTATCACATTAAACATTAAAAAAAAGAGTACAACATATAGCAGTACAAAACGACAATGTCCTCCTAGACAGACAATATCAATGCGGACGCTTCTGTCCCGATCTCAGTGTCCATCTCAACAGTCTGTTTGTTTCAGCTGACAGCTATCCGGTCGGCAGCTCCTTGTTGATCCCACAATCAAACGTTTCCATTTTGGTGTCTAAGGTCGAAAAAGAAAAGTCTGACCTTGCCAACAATGATCATAGGAAGCTCCGCCGAGATCGAAGGAGCTACATGGAAATCTGATGTTCGTTTGTGACCGAGGGCTAACTCCACAGATTTTTGGTTCTGAGAACTTTTGAATGATAAGCTGATAATACTTAATACAGTTGAGAAACTATACACAGTTTTCTTAAGTGCAAAGAGGAGAAAGAAACATAAAAGGGAGGTGACTGATTGCTATAATAAAGAACAAACAAAGAGAATTAATGAGAGAAGAGAGAAAAGCATCAGACGAGTTACTATTTGTTGTTATTTACTCAGTACCCAAAAGTCTGTCTGTTTCTGCTTTTCTGTTTCTAGCTTACGCAAACACCTGCATGTTCCCAAGCTGAGACTGCTGAGATGCTTGCTGCATCTGCTGCGACTGTGGCTGCACCTGCTCTGGAATGTGTGTGTGGTGTGAAGACGGCAGTGCATGGTGGGGGTTCCCCAGAGGGGTGGGGCTCGTGGTGACGTCAGACCAGTCCGAGTTGGAGTGTGGGGAAGAGGACGACCAGGGGTCTGGGGACTCTGGTGAAGGGGTGAGATAGGGGTGCTCACTGGCTGGGTGGGCAGAGTGGCCAGGGGTGGTGCCCTCTGAGCCAGCGGTGGTGTAACTGTGCTGGGAGGGGGGCGTGGGGTATTTATCCACTGGGCTCTGCATGGGCGGGTAGGAGGGCAGCTGCCGAGATTGGCCCTCAATCCCACTATGGCCCCCGTGGGTGATGGTGTGGGGGTGCTGCATGGTGTGGGAGAGGCCATGCGTCATGCTCATCTGCTCTGGCATCTGGTACATCAGACTCTGGGAGCAGTGGAGGTGGCCGGGCCGCTGTTGGGAGTGACCCTGGCTCTGGTTCTGCCCCTGGGACTGTGTCACCTGAACTTGCCCGGGCTGCGGCTGCTTCATCATGGCCTGGCCTCCTCCGGGCGCCATCATCTGGAACGTGACGATCGGCGGTAGCTGCTCTCTGCTCATCGTGACGTTCATGGGGGTGAGCATGGGGCCCTGGCTGTGGTGTTGGCCCATGACAGGGTGAGACCCGCCCATCTGGTGGGGCACAAGGCCGAACATGTGGCCACTGTAGCTGTGCTTTGCCATGCCCACCCAGCCTTGCTGCTGACCCAGCATGTGGCTAACAGGGGGCAGCATGGGTCTGGAGGTGGGGCTGCTCAGGAGGGGAGGGGAGTTTGCTGTGGTGGAGACAGCGCCAGACACGTCAGTTGTGTAAGAGTGCGGGGATTCAAGGGAGTCGACAGGTGACATGGTGACGGAGCTCTCTGGAAGTGCACCAGCTGCCTTGACACCATTAGCATTCCCTCCTCCAGTACCTCCTCCATTTCCTCCTCCCACTCCAGCACCCACACCTGGCCCCTCCCCTCCTGCAGGCTTCTTTCTTCTCTTTGCCTTCATGTCTTTCAGATCCTTAGCTCCCCCGCTGACTCCTCCCACCTTCGCTCCGCCTCCCCCTCTCCTGCTCTTCTTTCCCTGTGGCCCGGGACGCATGCCGATGTAACCTGTTCCATTGGCGCACATTACGGAGGAGTTTCCACCTCCGCCCATGTGGTTAGGCCCGTTGTGTGGACTGTGAACCAGGTTGTACTGGTCTAGCAGACGCACTATGTCGTGATGCATACGCTCCTGAGCTGTATCACGGGGCAGCCGATCCAGGTGGTCAGTGATATCACGGTTTGAATAGTGGTCAAGGAGAACCTGAGCCGCCTCAAAGCTGCCTTCTCTCGCTGCAAGAAACAGAGGGGTCTCCTCCTGATGAAACAAGAAGAAAAGAAAGAAAATAATGAATACGCAAATCTGTTTAATCATGATCAACTTACATTAAATATTATTTTTCCCAAGTTACATTAGACACAGTCCATTCAGTTACTAAAAAAACTTCTGTACTTAACTCAATATAAATGTAAATATACTTTTAATTGCATTGTATGTAAATATTAGACAGAAAAAAACATTTATAAAGATTCTATGAATTGTATGAAAGCCAATTAAAACAGACTTCATGGCTCATTGTTATGATTGTCTTATATTGTTATATTCGGTTTAACAACATGGGGCCAGATTTACTAAGATCCAATTAAAGAGTACTAAATTGCGTGTTCGTTTCAACAAATTTCATGTTTGGTTGGTGGGCCTTTTGCGGGTGATCTACTAAGAAAATTTGCGTGAATGACACCAGGTGCAAACCTTGAGGAGGCTTGCGCAAAATAGGTATCAGTGGAAGAGGTATTAAACGTACAGTATTTTTGAGTTATAGCAGATAAAACTGAATATTACAAAAAGAAAATATGGCTTAAAGAAACCCTCGGCATTAAACAGGGCTTCTCTTTTCTTCCCTCCATCTTTTGAAGATGAATTGTCATACATTGCGCAGAAGGTGTGAGCTGTCTCCTCTGTGGCGCTCAAGCGCGACACTCTGCACATTGTTGCGCACAAGACAGGTGGCCAGTGCTGTGTCTGATCGGACATAAATGCTCTGGCAAGAGGTTTTGAAGATGGGGGTACAAGCAGAGGTGAGGTCCCCCCATCCAAGCGTAGCGGCAGCGGGCTGTAGAGGAAGGAGACCTTCGCACTATGGACAGGAGAGCACCAGAGTGCACGAGCTGGGGGACAGACGCGCAGCCCGAGAAAAAGGAAATCCCCAGTTTAAAATATAATGTTGGCGAAATGAGGGAAATAGGAAGAAATAAATGTCAGTGTTGAAATTCTTTAGAATGAAGAGGCTGTGAATGTTCAACTTTGTTGGCTATACATAGGCAACAATATAGTTTAATCATGGTGTTTCCTGCTCTCGTTCCAAACATATTAACATGTGTGGGGAATAACGGATCTGTATGCCTTCTTTGATTGTGTCTCCTCCTACAATAACAGCAGCCTGTTGTGCATAACGCTGGTCTCCTGGGTTAGCACGTTCTTTTCAAAGGTGTTAAATTCAGACACCGTCACAATCTCCGCAATTTTTTGCCAGGCTTGGTAAATCGCAATGCGTGTACTAACTTAACTTCTTTGCATTTTCTCCTCCCAGTGTTTTGAACGCTAGAGCGGAAACGCCCCATATCGTATATTCATTAAGGCATTTAGGTACTAAATGGACAATGTGTGTTGTTTTGCTCATATGAAAGACGCAAACCTCACTGCCCGCCGTTAGTAGTTCAGATGGTGGTATCAAGTTTGCACACGTTTTAAGACACGCAAACCTTTAGTAAATCTGGCCCATGGTGTGGGAAAAAAGGATGTTGTAAAGAAGTATCACAGAACAAAGTGTCCAGAAAACAAATGATCCTGAAATGTAATGAGGATATCTAGAAAAGGGAATTCAAAACTTAATGCGGTCATGTGAATTTTGAAACAGGGCAGAGATTGTAATGAGAACATGTCAAAAAAAGGAAAACCAAAGAACTGACCTTATTGTCTTGCATGTCACGGTTGGCTCCATTTTTCAAAAGCACAAGAGTGGCCTCCACATTATTAACGGCAGCAGCCCAGTGCAGAGCAGATTTGCCTAAAATAGTGGGACAGAGAGGAAAGACAAAGATAACATTTAGTAAGGAGGTGTATATGCGTATTTGTTTATTGATAACAAAAACACTGTGTTGTTGAGGTTTTAGATCAGAAATGACAGGAGGAGTAAGTATATGAAAAGTCTTCCTACCGTGGTCGTCTACAGCATTGATATCAGCATGGCAGTGGATCAGCTCCTCCACCATGCCCTCAACGGCGAGTCTTGCTGCCAGGATAAGAGGAGTTGTGCCATCATTCATCCGGGCGTCCAGTTCTGTCGCACGATTACGGATTAGAATCTGAGCGAAGGAAAAACAACAGACACACAATATACGATCAATAAAACAAACTATTATGATGCAAATTTCACAAGCATTTATCTCATCATAGGAATTAACTTCACCTCTCTTCATTAAATTAGTACTCCAATGCTTGAAATTGTGTCAATAAAAAGCAACCTTGTAAAAAATGTTTGGATGACCAAATGTCATATTCAGAGAACATCTGTTCAAAAATGTCTCTAACCTGGAAGACTCCCTGGGCATCTGCGGCCACAGCAGCATGCAGAGGTGTTCTACCCATGTTATCGTGCGCGTTGGGATCAGCTCCAGCATCCAGCAATCTCTTTGCTGCATCAGCTCTGGCGTAGCGGGCGGCAAGGTGGAGCGCTGTTTCTCCTGTACGGTCGGTTTGAGCAATTAAAGAAGCTCCCTGAGCGATCAGGTCTGAAATGACACTCGGTCCGGCTTCCTCTCCTCCGCTTTCTTCCTCCTCCTCTCCATGTAGGCCACAGTCCGGGCCTCCGCCGTTACGCAGGGAAGCCAACATCAAGGGTGTGAAGCCATCTGAGAGAGAAGGAAATCATTATGAAAGATATTAAAAAAAATAATAAAAAAAAAAAAAAAAAAATCAGATGTGAAAATTAAGAATTGCCTATTTTCCCTCACCAGGTCCTTTGACATTGACATCCAGACCGTCAGCATCCAGGTCAGCCTGAGGAGGGGTGAGGGTGATGTCAGCAGCCTTGCGATGCTGCATTGTCCACTCTCTGTGGTCAACACCTCCATCCATGGCCATAGGCAGCAAGGGTTTGTCTTCAGTCTATAGGAGCAAAACAACATGAAATAGAATCCACAACAACCAAAAATCTTTCTTACAGTTCAAGATGCTCCAAACTAAATTTGATTTGAAATACTCCAATCCGTCCGCTTTATTTGAATCATTCTTTTTCTTCTTTCTGAATTCACTTACTCTTGGTTTTTGGGTGGGACCTCATCTTCCAGCCATCTCTGACTCTGACCTCCGTCAATCATGGCTCCATCCTGGGTCTTAAAATTCCTGATATGCGAAAACAAAAACAAAATTTAGGGACATTGACATCTTGTTTTGCTAACAGGTAAGGTTTATAAAAAATAATATAGACACTACTTTACTTTCAATACTATAATTTCCCCCCAGATCATCCAAGAATCTAAATAAATTACTCTTGTACGAATGCTCATCTACTAGTTTTTCTGGTGTAAATACTCCTTATCATAAACTGATTGTCAGTGTAACCACTCACTTCATGTCAAGGTCATCTTGTCCCACAGGCTCTCTCCTCTTGTCATTTTTATTGGCCATGAAGCCATCAGGCAGCCACAGTAATCCATGTTTATGTTTCCTCTTGGCAGCTAGCATCCCCAGCACCAGGATGAGGAAAATAATAAACACAGACACTCCGACCAGGTATGGCAGCAGTGACGTTGATGGATCTGTTGGTTTACCTGGAGGCACATCTAATACCAGTTATTTGTTTGTTTGTACTTACTAACAAGCCAATTACATTTGATAATCTGCATGAATGACAGGTCGACTTACTATTAACAGACACTAGAGGGTAAGGCAATTCCCCCTTGATGTGTGCCGCTGCGATGAAGGATGCAGCTTCATCGGTGTTGGAGAAACAGTCGTCAGAGCTCTGGACACACTCACGGTTATCGATTTCCAGGTGCACAACAGATCTGCACAGACAAATGTGTTAAACGTGATGGTCAAAGGCAGCATAGCAGCATCAAGTTTTATATCAGAATTTGAAAGAAGAGAAACTATGTGTGTCCCACTCATGAACTATCCTTACCCAACAACCTCCCTCTCTAGCTCCCTCTTGGGTCTGCTCCTCTGTGCCTGTTGACCCTGTTCCTCCTCTGTACCATAGTAAGGCATCACCATTGGCTTCTTGTTTTCATCCAGTTTCACCTTAAGGTTGGTGTGCAACAGGGCTCCCAGGGCACGCAAGAAGCCCCGCAAGTCTCCAAGCAGCTCTTTAGGCTGCAGCCGGACCACGAGAACCAGCGAGCCATCCACTGGTTTGGGTGGAATGTCGGCCGAACAATCCAGACCGTCCCAGCCACAAGCCTCTGTGTAGCAACTCTGGTCACAGTTACCGTTACCATAATGGTCTGCACAGTACTTGTCATACCTGGAAATACAGAGGACAAGGCATGGGTGGTGATTTGGCTTCAGAACAATAATTATTATTTCTATTATTACTATTACTGCAGTAAAAAGGAAATTTGGAGGAGGGTGCCATACTTGCAGGAGGCTGGTTTGGACTCCTGACATTCAAAGCTGTCAAACAGACACCCGGGGTTGTCACACTCCTTATCACAGAGTCCGTTTTTAAAGCGATCCCAGCAGGGAACACTGGCGGCACAGTTCACCCAAGGCTGCTGCCAGTTCAGAGAGCAGTCTCCTCCATCCCACTGACACTCGTGGTTGTTACACTGATCGTCACACACTTTATCCCCTGACTGCCGCTCACATTGCAGATAGGGGCAGGATATAGTGCGTGGTATGACGAGTGTGTTTTCACATTGTCGTCCAGAGAAATGTGTGGGGCAGCGGCAGCTGTACTGGTTGAATTGGTCTTTGATGCAGGTTCCTCCATTTTGGCAGGCCAATGAACACCTCTGTTCATTCTCGCAGTGTGGCCCGCTGAAGCCGGGCTGGCACTGGCAGTACAGGTGCCCGACTTGTGACTCCACACAGTGCCCTCCATGCTGACATCGTAGCTTCTCACAACTGTAACCTTCGATTTCACCACAATTAAATCCAGTAAAGCCCTACAAAACAAAAGATGCTGTTTAGGTTTGAAATCCATAGTTTGGCTTTGCTACAAATATTTCAACACCAAATAAAACTTAATTGATGATGTCCCTGCAGATCAGCTGCTTGTCTACTATACCTGAGCCATGGTGTGGCCCTCTGAAGCAAGCATGAGAACAAGAGGAGGAATAAGAGGTTAGTGGAGAGAATTCCAAGCGTTTAGTATGAAAAGATTGATGTTCTCTGAAGAGAGCAAGAGAAGGAAAACCTGAGGTGGTAAAAGCACCTGTTCACCTGTATATCACTGTATTAACACACAATAAATGAGTTCCTTACTTTGACCCGAGAATAATGAATGGGTTCATTCATGTAAACATTCACTGGACATTCAAACAGACTGGCAAGAACTAGCATTGAAATGGTAGCTTTCCGGATAATTTGACAATTTAAATAAGGAGGAAAATCACTAGTATTTGAAAATTGCACCCCAATCTCTGTCAAAATAACAGTTTGGTTTTCTTGTACCTTGGCCATCTATCACGCTTTATTATTCTGACATTAAGCACAACACTACCAATCATAATGTTAGAAAACTAGTTTAAAAGCATCCACTTTACAGTTGAATAAAAGGTAGCATTCATAGCATAAATAATAAACTGTGAAAGGATGAACAAAAACAGTGAGCTTGTTTGCACTGAGGGGAAAAGTGTGATTCAGGAAGGGACCATAAGATTCAAAAACTGCTGAAATCATGTTATGAAGCAACAAAAAAAGACAAGAATTAAGGACACTTACAGATGGACAGGAGCAGGTATAGCTGTGAACTGAACTCATGTTCATAGAGCAGACGCCATTGTTGTGACATGGCTTGGACAGACACAGATCTACCATAGACTCACAGTGACGACCTGGAGACACAAGGGGAGAAAAATGAGGAAGTTACACAGGAGAAGAGGTAATAATAATCAAAATCTGAAATATTTGTATGAATGATAACCGAAAAGTTATCGTGCTGGTTCTCTAATTTACACAATGCTTTCAATGACTCTTGTATGCCCCTTTGACAGATAGTATGAATGTACCCGTGTATCCAAGGCGACAGCGACACTGATAATCGTTGACCAGCTGCACACAGTCAAGGCTTCCAGGGGCGTGGCAGGGCCCAGACAGGCATTCATTCAGATCGCCCTCACAGTGTTCTCCGACATATCCTGGAGGGCAGGAGCATGTGTAACGACCCACACCGTCCACGCACTGTCCTCCGTTCCTACAGCGAGGTTCTGAGGAGCCGGGCTGAGGGGCACAGTCATCCATGTTCACCTCACACTGGAGCCCTACAGAACAGAGAACAGACAAGACATCACTGTATGGGAAGGGGAGTCTCTTCAGTATCCTGTGTGTGTTCAGGAATATATTTTTTATGCAGACCTACCATTGGTTCCAGGTGGGCAGGCGCAGGTAAAGCGGTTGATGAGGTTGATGCAAGTTCCACCATGAAGGCAGGGCTTTGAGTGGCACTCATCAACATCATACTCACAGTTCACCCCCTGGAAGCCCGACTTACACTGGAGCAATGACGCAAGAGACTGATGTTAGCTCGAAAATGCTTTACTAGTTTGACATTACCATTAAAACTTTGAAATGTATGAGCCACGCACACCACTTAAAAACAAACATAAACTAACACGTGAGAAGTTACTCACAACACACTCGTATGTGCTCTGGTAGTCCTTGCATGTCGCTCCGTTGCGGCAAGGGTTTGACTTGCACTCATCGACCTTGTCTTGACAGTAGCTGCCCGTGTATCCTGGCTGGCACTGACACTTGTGAGAATTGCCCTCATTCACGCACCTCCCGGCATTCTCACACACATTCTCCACTTCAATACCTATGGGTGCATTTTTAGGAAGGCCAAAACACTGAATTAACATTATAAACATACCTAATTAAAGTCTATTTTAAGATTTTGACTGAGGAAATAGTATGCAGGATAAGAAAATAATCATTTTCAGTCCGGGGTGAATGACAAAAAAAGTTTATGTTTGTTTAGCTATAGTGCAACTCTGCTTTGATCAATCTCTTAATCCTACAAAACTCTGTCATCATATCAGGAATGATCTCAGTTTACTTTTTGTTGAAGTAACAACACAGCAGGTAAAAACTCCTCACCCTTAGTGGCAGCAAAGTCCTGGCAGGACTGGTACGGGATGTCACAGTACAATCCAGTCCATCCCCATGCACAGTGACAGGTCCAGGAGGTCGCTGTCTGTGAGCAGGAGCCACCGTTGAGACAGCGTACCTGGCTGCACAGGTTCACATAGTTCTGCAAATTTAAAAAAAAAAAAGGAAAGAGAGAATTTAAGGTGACTGGAAATTATGGCTGGAGATCTTAACAACTTTACAACCAAGATGGTCAAATACCTTAAGTGTTCTTCAGTTTGTGATTACTTAATTTTTTTGTGGGCTGACAAAATATATTTTTGAGTACTTATATAAACCAGAAATCCCAAATTACCATAAAAGCGGTGTTTAAATTATGCACCTTTAAAACCAGCTATATTTTGAGTTTTTGTGAAGCAAGAACATATACAACTTGTGTCGTAAATGTTACACATTTTTGACACACTGTGATCAAACAAAACACTTTACCTGGCAGTTTCGGCCATTGTATCCTACAGGGCAGGTGCAGCGGTAAGCGTCCAGGCCATCGGTGCAAGTGCCTCCATTCTTACAGGGCTGAGAGTTACACTCATTCCGCTCATACTCACAGAAGGTCCCATAAAAACCAGGACGGCAACGACAAGAGAAAGTGTTGATATCATCGATGCAAGTACCGTTATTCAGACAGGAGCTGGAGGGAAGAGAGGAGAGAGAGGGGGCAAAAGGGTTAAAGAAAAACTACCCCTGTCTAGAGTTCTTTTCTAAAAGTGTGGTGAAGAGGAAAGAAAAAAAGTATAGAAACAGTAAAAACTTAAGCCCAAAAAAATGTCATAGAACTATATTAAGTACTACAAGCACTACTGGTAATAATCCTTCAAATCAGGCATCTTTGTAAACACTAAAATTATTATTTTTTTTAATTCTACGCAGTTAAAAAGTTAACTTTAAGCCCTCTTTCACCCACATTTATTTTAGACACAGCCATGATTCATTCTCACAGGTTACTGCAGGGGAAATGGTAATTCAGGAAAAATGTATTACAAGAGACAAGAGCAATCAAGCCTGCTAATAAAATGTCGGTTTTATGGCTCACCTCTCAGTACATTCGAGGATGTTGTGTTCACACAAGATTCCATCAAACCCTGGACGACACTCGCACACAAAACTGTTGACATAGTCCCTGCAGATGGCACCGTTCCTGCAGGGCTGGCTCGCACACTCGTCTACTTCGATCTCACAGCGATCCCCTTCAAAACCCTGACGACAGTCGCAGGAGAAGCTCCAAACACCATCCACACAGGAGCCTCCGTTCAGGCAGGGGACTGCAGAGGGGAGAAGATTTAAAAGATTATTTAAATAATCATTGTCAATGAACAATGTACAAGCAGGTTTGCGGACATCAATTGAGTACATTGTTTTAAGTTTGCTTTTATCTTGAGGTATCTTGAAATCTTGCTTTGTGTAACTCCAGTATGTGATGATGAATCACAGAATATTACAAAAGTCTCATTACACATAGGTGTCATACATGCAGGGATTTAAAGTCTACATGATGTACAGCCATTAATAAGGTGTCTGAAATAGTCAATGTGAAACTCACTTGGTGAGCAGTCATCAATGTCGGTCTGACAGTTGTGTCCGCTGTATCCAGGTTGACATTTACACGTGTAGCTGCCAGGACTGTTCATGCAACGACCACCATTTTTGCATGGGCTCTTTTTGCATTCATTCACATCCTCACTGCAGCGTGGGCCTATACAATTGTTAACATATTAAATGTATGTACAGTACATTAGAAGAGAGCTTTCAGACTAAATGTAATTTAGTTTCCTTTGATCTTGTATTGACAAAAACACTCTCAGAGAGACACATACCTTGCCAGCCAGCGGGACATTGGCAGGTATAAGAGGTGTAGTCTGCAGATGGACGACACACTCCTCCTCTCTCACATGGATGAGAAGCACAGGGATCCTGTTCCACCTCACAGTGTTTACCTGTTTGACATTGCATCAAATATCAAACCAATTAATTAATATTAAAAAGACAAAGGCAACTGATTTTTTTTTCTAAAGAAACATTCAGGTAGCCTCTATAAACCCTGCAGATGCATGCTAACATGGTGATGTTGATGAGATGGAAATATGGTTTTACTAACCTGTGAATGGGGGGCTGCACTGGCAGGTGTAACTGTTGATTCCATCAATACAAAAGCCCTGATTCAGACAAGGCCCTGATGCACATTCATCTACGTTCTTCTCACAGTTCACACCTAAATGAGAAAGGGGAGTCGATTTATTTTTTATTCAGTCCTGCTTCTTCTATTTAAAAAGAGATTTGTAAGGACTGCTATTTTGAAATAATATAAAAGTAATACTTAAAAATACTAACCTCTGAATCCAGGTTGACACTGACAGGTGTAGCCTTTGTGTCGATCAACACAGTTGCCACTATTTTGGCACGGATTAGGCTGGCACTCATCTTTTTCCTCCTCACAGTGATGTCCCACCCAGCCAGCTTCACACTCACAATGATACCTTTAGACAAAATGAGGAAAAGCACAAGATTGAATGCAAAATAAGTAATGCGTTACCAATATCTGCAGGTAGTCTTTGACATATCCCCAGCATCAGCTAATCTGCTAAAAAATGACTTATCATACAGCTTTATCTGCTGATACTGCAGTTTCAGTGTTGTTCAAGGGAAAATTTTAAAAACAAGAGAGCCTGGAAGAAATTTCCCCAACCTTATGTATCTTCTTAAATTCCTTCTTGAACTATGTAACAAATATGTTCACTCATAGAGTAACATAACATGGAATAAAGACAAATTAATGTTAAAACATTAAACTTAATAGTAGCAGAATAAAATGTCATACCCGTGTTGCTGTTCAACACACTCTCCGTGCACACAGGGCTGAGTAGCACAGTGGTCTCTCCCAGAGAGGCACAGTGGCCCGTGGGTGCTGGGTGGGCACAGGCACTGAAAACTGTTGAGCTTATCCATGCAGGTTCCCCCACTCATACATGGGTTTGAGTCACATTCATTGATCTCCACCTCACATTTAGTTCCTATTAGAGAGTAAGTCAGAGAGAGTCAGTTGTATCAAAAGCCTTCACTTGATAACAGTAGAGTGATTGCATCACAATCTTAGGTCAGAGTGCCTTATCTTTTTGGTACATTTCTTCCTAGTTTCTGAAACACAAGCATTTACTACATTCAACTGTCTGAGGTAGCAAACAAACAATACCTGTATATCCTGGGGCACACACACACTTGTACTCGTTGATGCCATCATGGCATTCTCCATATTCACAGGGGCTGCTTGCACAGTCATCTTCATTGATCTCACAGTTCACCCCTGAAGGGAAAAAAATGTTAAGTAACAATTGACTGGTTATATGCTCTTTTCTCATATCTAAAGTGTTTGTTAAGATTTAAAAGTAGCACCCTAAAAATGACCCTTCACATCCCTGTAGAGCTGGTGCCAGTATGGAGGTGAGTTAGAGGTGAAAGAGATCAAGTAGCTCTCACAGAATGTGTAGTTAACTCATTCACCACCAGGGGGAAGTAAGACTCCATGGAGTTCAGTATGAAGTAAGAAATGCTTACAAGTCTGACTGATTTAAACACAGCAGAGGTCTGCTACAAATTTAATGTGGCATGAATTTAGAAAAATGACAAGAATAACATTCAAGACACAGCTGTTAGGCCGGGAGAGAAAAAGAGAGAGGAAATGAACACGAAAAAGAAACAGAAAGAGAGAGAACAAGAGAAGGAACAAGGCCGTGAGGCGAGGGGAAGTGTGGGCATTCTACCAGAAAGGGAGACCTGACAGGGTGACCTGATGCCAGTTTTAGTAAAGTGAGGACAGTACAGACTCCAGTACCAGGCCATAGAGTGGTACAACGTACTCAAGTGAGTCTACTAATCCTCAAAGAAATGTCGTGTCACAGTGCTCGACCCAGACTTGTGACTTCTTCACGCGTGCACACACAAAGGAGTGCTCTACCCTTAACAGCACATTCAGTACATTGGACGCTGTACAGGAAGCTCTATATGTGGGGGATGGATGTCTTTATATTTAATTCAAGCTGTTACCTCAACTATCAAACTTTGAAAGGTCACATAATTGAAATTCAGGAGAAAAAATTAGGAGCTCATTTTATGTAAGCTGTGAGAAGGGTTCGGAATTAGATTTTTGTTTAAATATGATTGTTTAGGCCTTATTTAAACAGAACTTAAATGAAAAGGAACTAAAACTCAGCTTTTTGTGTGTTAAGAGTTCAATCTTTATGGTATCTACAGCAACCACCTGTCAAGCACAGGTTTGTTTAAAATCCTGCAAATGAAGCAACAGCACAAACCTTTGTTTAGTAGATCAAACACTTCATCAGATGAAAAAGTGTATCCGATCAGGTTCTTTATTCTCATGTAATAAAATGTTTATCTCAATTTATAAAGCTACCCCCAAATGTCTAAACAAAACTACACAACTGCTTGCTTTATTTGCATACCACATCAAAAATAATTAAGAATAAATCAGAGTCCACTCATCTGAGTATATAGTCAGTGCATTTTGTTGTACACAGTGAACATACCTGTGGTTCCTGGGGGGCAGTTACACTGGTAGGTGTTGACCCGGTCAATGCAGCGTCCTCGGTTCTGACAAGGGTTGCTGTGGCACTCGTCGACCTGGATGTTACAGATTGAGCCTGTGTATCCAAGTTGGCACTCACAGAAGAAGGTGGCGATGCCGTCTTTACACACACCGTGGTGGCAGGGCTCTGGTACGCAGTCATTGATGTTGTCCTCACAAAGTAGACCATTAAAGCCTGAGGGAAAAATATTTTTTTTTAGATAAATACAAAGGCAAGGGTCCAATGTGATGTAGTCTACAGTTTAAGAAAAGTGTTACAGCACAATATTAGAGCATGCAAACAAATTAAAATGACTTGAAGTTAACATAGGGTTATTCTCTCTTACCTTCAGCACATTCACAATCGTATCCGTTGGGCCGATCAATACACTTAGCTCCATTTAAACAGGGTGTGCTGGAACATTCGTCTACGTCTATTTGGCACATTTCCCCATTGAAGCCTGGAAAGAGAAGACAGTTCAGATAATAGAAGTAACAGACACTTGCAGGAAAACCAGTTTGAACACAGGCTGGAATTCATAACAAGTTCATTTTCAAGGGGGTGGAAATAAATCAGAAAAAAAGCACAATTCTAACAGCATGTGTACCAACCTGCTGGGCACTCGCAGATGAAGCGGCTGACCTGGTCCAGACATTTCCCCTGGTTCAGACAGGGCGAACTGAGACATTCATTCACCTCGTTCTCACAGTGAATCCCCTCAAATCCTGCAGGTGGGGAAAGAAACAGGTTTTACTATTGCTCCATCTTTCCAAAGTAAAATAGGCCAAATATTTTTTTCCAATCCCATTTCTTTTTGCAGTTGCAAAGCAGTTTGTCAATCTATGAGGGCAAGATTGAAGATGCAGTAGTATAGATACTCTAACAAGTCCACAGTTACACACTGTGTGCGTGCATGTCTGACTGTGTGTTTATCTGTAGCACCCACTGCTGTGTTTCTGCATTGCTGCAAATTCACAGACTGGGACACCAAATTTACACCGTCACAGAATCAATATGAATTTACACAGACGTGAAGAAGGCTGAGCTTAGTTACAGCACATTCAGCACAGTCTGAAAAGGGCATAATAATGAGAATTGTTGTGCTTTTTCGAAAAAAAAAATCTAGATGAGAATGTCTAATAAAATTGGTTAAAAATGTACAAGAAATGATCTTATGTACCAGGCATGCAGATGCAGGTGTAGTCCCCAATGCGATCCAGGCAAGTGCCATCGTTCTGGCAGGGGTTTGAAGCACACTCGTTGATATCCTGCTCACAGCGAGGCCCATCATAACCTCTAGCACAGTTACAGGTGAAGGAGCCATCAGTGTTCACACACTGACCACCATGCTCACAGGGGTTGGTACCTGATGAAGAGGGAAGGTTTAAAAGCAGAACACATCAGAGTGTGTGTCTCGTGGGTTTAGAATTTTGTCTTGCTCACCAATGCTGCATTCATCTCTGTCAGTCTGGCAGGTGCTGCCTACATATCCTGCTGGACAGTTACAGTTGTACATGCCACTGATGGGGTTGGTGTCACACTGAGAGCCCGCTCTGCAGGGGTTACTAATACAAGCATCATCTCTATGGCAGAGCAAACCTGAAATGAACACCAAGATGACAAGAAGGTGTTTAAGAAATGAATCATTCAGCTGTTTAAATAAGAGACCAAAGTAAGAAGAAGAGCAAAATCATTGTAAAAAAAAGTATTTTGTCTCTTACTACTGGCTTACCTGTCTTTCCATGGGGACAGACACAGACAAAAGACGCAACACGGTCGATGCATGTGGAGCCGGGGCTGCACGCTGCTGTTGCACAGTCATCAATGTTTTCAGAGCAGTCAGGTCCACTCCAGCCGTTAACACACACACAGACGTAGCTGCCAATCAGGTTGCTGCAGGTTCCTCCATTCTGACACGTGTTTGGCTGCAGGCGGCACTCATTTACATCTTCTGTACAGTGCTGACCTGTGGACAATATCCAAAAGGTTTTATTTTTTGCATCTTATGAAAAATGCAGTAGGATAACATTATTTGCCCACATTGTGCCGTAACCTCCTCCTTAAACCTACTGGCCTTATTTTCTCTTGGTACGATTAGTGCTACATAAACTCAGACAGGCCCAAGGAAGCAGATGTATGCATGTTTGCTTTGTAGACAGAAAGCTTACATATGCAACACAAGTGTGCTAGTAGAGACACGCCTTGTGTGAAGTTAGGGCCTCCAGAGGATAGAGAATACAGAGAAATGTTAGAAAACCTAATATCAAGCGGGCAACATGAGGGAGGCATACCACATAGTGTAACTGTGGTCACATGACCACACTTAAGCACACACAAATCCCTTACCAGTCCACTCTGGAGGACACTGGCAGTTGTAGGTGTTCACTCCATCCATACAGGTTCCTCCATTAGCACACTGATGACCGGGACAATCGTCAATGTTGTTCTCACAGTTCGTTCCATTAAAACCTGGCACAAATACAAGAAAGAAACATTTCATTACCGTAGCTTAAACTATGTATCCTTTGGGGCAAAGCATGCACAAAAAAACATCTGCTGTTGTATGATGATCTCTGATGTACATACGTCTTATAACAAGTCCTGGTAATATAAAAACACAACCTGTGTGTTTGTTATGTCCACTGTTTAAGTGTAGCAGAGTGACAGCAGAGTGTCTAACACAACACAGCCAACAGGATGAGGCTGTTTACACTTCAAACAACATTTTGTTACAATAACTCATTATTACAGTAACGCTACATTCTTACATAAACACCAGTTACAGTGTTGCTCCCTTTTTTCCTACTTCAAATGTTCTGCCTTTTGGTGTCCCTCCTCTCCTCCATATCTCTGTTGGCATTGCTTTTGTATCATTACTTTATATTTTTTAAAACAAGTGTATAAATCCTCCTACCTGGAAGGCAGTGGCAAGAGTAGCTGGTTTCAGAGTTCTGGTGGCAGGTGCCTCCATTGAGGCAGGGTGAAGGTGAGCAAGGGATGTATGAGCTTTCACAGTTTCTGCCAGTAAACCCCAGGGCACAGATACACCTATAGCAATGAAAGAGTTTGTTTTATAAAGTCTAACCAATTCAGTCTAAAAAAAACAGATAATTCTCTACGAAGTCATACTCATTTCTAGAAAATCTATATCATAATTTTTAGAAAATATATTATTCAATAGTTGCTCCTAATATAAACTTGACATTTCTTTTCAAGAACTTGATTCTTACTTGTAGGAGCCAGGAGTATTAAGGCATAATCCTTCATTCTGGCATATGGAGGGTGTAACAGCACATTCATTGGTGTCATTAAGGCACCGAGGACCAATGTAGCCACTCGGACAAGAACATGTGTATCTTCCACCAGACAGGGAACTGCATGTTCCCCCGTTGGCACAGGGACTAGACAGACAGCTATCCTCCTGCTCACACTGCAGCCCTGGGAATTAAAAAAAAAAGAGAGAAAAGCTTAGCATTAGTTCCTTACATATTTCCCTTATTTCTACAGAGAATAATATAACAGATACAAGAGGGTCAGCAATATGCATTGGTAGGTATGCATCTATTTTGTAGTGATGTAAGAACTTATTTTCACATTTTGTTTTCAGTAACAACATTTTTAATTGTAAAGAGTCCAGCTTGTTATCCGGTCAAAAAGTGCACGATGAAGTAGTACGAGTATAAACATTTACAAACCTCACAAAAAGCTATTTTTTATCATTTAAATTAATTATAACCTCCTTGATCAATGGTAATTCATCTAAATTCAGATTAGTAGAGAGTTATAGAAACATAAGCAAGATATGTTGGAGACTTTTTTGCAACTTTAGACAATTTTACAGTCATTACAAAACATTTTGATGTGCAAACAATCAGAAAAGAGTTTCAGACATATTTTAACAATAGAGTCTGTTCCTGCATTCATATAGATATGAAGTTTTGTTCCAGTGATAAATAAGTCATATCTCTGCACTTATCTCACCTGTCCATCCTCTGGCACACTCGCACTTGAACTTGTCTAGTGAAAGCAGTGTGCAGACACCTTTGTTGGCACAGGGGTTGCTGGGGTAACATGTCGAGTTCTGGGGCGTTTGGCAGTGTTGTCCGGTGTAGCCGAGAGGGCAGGTGCAGACAGTGCTGCCCGCCACAGCTGACATGGACACGGAGCAGTTCCCTCCATTCAGGCAGTAACCAGGTTGACAAGGGTCCTTATGGTGGCAGTACTCACCCAGAAAGCCTGGTGCACACCTGGACACACAAACAAGCAAAAATGTCAACGATGGAGGATCTACACACACACAGTTTGCACAATAAAGATGAAAGTTAAGTTAAACAAAAAGTCATATTTGGTTGTCTGTTAGGGCTTTTTAAGGAGACAAACAAACCAAACAAAAGAGTTAGTTTCATACAGAATCAGGTGCACGTAATGCACCACATCAAACAGCAGCAATGATAGTGAGATCTTACACTGAACAATAGCCTTGTCGTACACACACATCAAGCGGGTTAACCCTACGGTTTAATACACAGTCCTGACTCTGCTATTGAGTGATCTTACCAAGTACGTGGGGAACCACATCCTAAAGTAGGTGTGCCAGTCAAACGTTTGGTTGTGTCTTAAGAGAAAGTAGTTATTCAATCACTCCAACCATCAAGCTGTATGGTTAATAGTTAATGGACTGCATTTATTTAGAGCCTTGTCCCAAGAGAGACTGAAGCTGATCACAGCACAATGCCTCACGTGTTACAGTGACCCTGCAGAAACACACAACCGGGACAGAAGTTGTGGTTTATATTGAAGACAATTTGGTGTTAAGATCAGACATGAGTTGAGCTACAAACCCTCAGCTTACAGTCAAAAACTGCTCTATACTCTTAGCTGTTAAAGGCAATAAGACAAAAGAGGGAAGCTGAGCTTGGTAACAGGGTTAAACAAGGGCCAGTGATGGCAAAGAAGAAGTAAAAATGAAGAAGGATGTGAGGTGGAGTCATCTGGAAGTTGTTGACTGAAGCCTGGCAGAAACAAAAAACAAAAAGGTGGAAAGAAGCAGAAAACATTTTTCTAATGTAATAGACCAACAACATTTGTGCAAAACAGATAAATAGTTTCATTACTTTATAAAATAAGTCCACAGGAAAGACAAGAAACTTCTATTTCAGTAAAGTGATTCAGCAGCATGCAGAGCACCGGAGAGGAAATTACAATATTACGCAATATGTCCACCAGGATCTCAACAGAGACAATGATCCCCTCCTCACTTTCTATTCCTCTGTTTTCTCAGCCTCTCCCACTTTCCCTCACTGTCTGACAGTATTTGGTCAGATGTGTTGTTTTTTACTGAGCAAAAAAGGTAATTAGTCAGGTAATTTCCTGTGCACTGCCTGTTGCACTGTATGTTGGGTTTGGTGTGTGTGTGTGTGTGTGTGTGTGTGTGTGTGTGTGTGTGTGTGTGTGTGTGTGAGAGTGAAGGGCACATGGCAGACACCCTGTCTAGGGACCATGGGCGACAGAGCAACCCGCTCCCTCTTAAACCAGCTTCTAAACCTGCATCCCTAGAGGGGTTCAGGTAACATAATAGGAGAGCAGAGATACAGAGGACAGCTACTTACACACACACACACACACACACACACACACACACACACACACACACACACACACACACACAACACACACACACACACACACACACACACACACACACACACACACACACACACACACACACACACACACACACACACACACACACACACACACACAGATAAACTAATATCCTCTTTCATAACCATTTCTAATGAAAAAATTATGCTTATTTCCCAAATAAGCAGCCCCGGAGCATGTGAAAACAGAGCACTGTAGACAGAAGAACAGAGTTCGGTGTTATGAGCCATATAAAACAGTGGAAATGGGAATTATCTGACATGCAGTCCCACGCTTGCTAACTTTATTTATTATTGACCACCCCACCCCAAAGCAGCTTTAAGATATTAGGTTATGAGCGCATGGGAACGAAGGATAGTCATGAATCATGCCAGGCAGAAGTTTCACAGATCAATCACATCTGTGATACGTCTGCCTGCATGATGTGAGTCATCCAGTGTCTCTACAGAATAGACAAACAACATGAAGCAACAGAGGCCAACTCTGACTAAATTATTTGACAAAAAAGTATACAGTTTATGAAATCCACTGCAGTACACAAACAAACAAAAGACACTGAATTTGATCAATATACCATTATATTGAGCAACACATTCATGATTTTTTTTACAGGTTTTTTTAATCAGTAGGCAAGACAGGATATTTATACACAAATATCATTAGTATTTTCTTTAAATTAATGATTATTTCCCTCAAATGTTTTTCTAAAAACTAGCTCTTTCTAAAACAGTGCGGGTGGTAAACAGATAAACCAGATGGTAGATTAGTGATGTATGATCTTCAAAGAAAACACAGACTTCATGCCTCCTGACCTCTCTCAGATTAGACACGGCCACCCTCCCTCTTCTCTGTCTCCTCCCTGAATCAGCATGTCTGCAGTGCAACCCCTCTACACACCCCCAAACACAGGCCTATACACAAACACACGCACACATAAATACACAAACACAAAGACGTCCCTCCTCACTTCAAACACAAACACAGCTTGGTCATGATATCACAACAAGATGGCCGTCCTGGGAATCAGGGCCGCTCTTTTTTCTCTACAGGACGACCTATCCCCCCCCCTCATGGAGTAATGACATGGCCCTCTGCCCTGTGACATACATCATGTTAGAAGGCCGTCACACACAGAACAGCGTGTCCAGGTTAATACCAGGTTTACGTTGCACTGGGAACATTTTACACATTCTCACTTTTAAATCTATGGGACATATGAGACTCATTTTCAAAGTCAAGTATAGCTACTTTAGTGAGAGAGCAGAAACTTGAAACTGGTGCTTAGTCATAATCTTTAGCCTGATTACAAATCTTTTGAGTCTGGAATAGGTCTCTATGTTAGCTTGTTATTGCTGTAAGGAAAAGCAACAAAAAAAAGGGGGGGGGGGGGGGGGAGTTATTCCTACACATTTGTTGAACACCACCATTCATTATGTTTTTGTTACTTTGACATTTTTGTAAATTCAATAGTGCAAACAGGAAAGATGCACAATAATCTCACGCAAATTGAGTCATTGCTATCTAGCCAGTGTTGACAGAACCACATGCCAAGGCATCAGGAAGCAATACCACCCTGTCCTTCTGGTTTCACTGCCTGATAGAGAGCTCATTATTAGTCTCTGTCTGTGTCACTAAAGCCCGAAGCAAACAGACAAGGCCATGCATGATTCACATTATTGTCAGGGAGTGGTATCTTGCTGAAGGAAGAGACAACGCAGCACCAAGGGGACAGTCTGTGACTGAAAGCAACTTCAGGAGCAGTGCAATTCTGATGAATTTCCATGCACAGTAAAAAAAAAAGAAGAAAAAAAGATTAAGGATTAATGCAAATGTACACCTTGAACCAATGCAGTCAGCTGAACTTTCAAACAACGCAGTAGAGAGAGAACTTCCACAGCCAAATTAATCTATGGGATCCTTTGTGTTGCCTGACTTTTTTTCCTCCTTTTTCTCTCCATCCTTTTCTTACGCTGTGCTATTTCCCGAAGCCCTTCTTTCCCTCTCTTTCTCACTCCTCCACCTCTCATTTCTAAACCCGCTCTCGAGGTGTCAGGTTTCTACAGCTGGTTCACATTAGCGCCCCCATCTCAACTCCCCCCCCGCACCCCTTCTCTCTCCCACCTCCTCATACTCTTCTACCTCATGCTGACCTCTGCTTATCCTGGCTAGCCGTCGGGGCTTCACAGAGCAGAGAGGGGTGGATTGATTCTCACTCACTCATGAAATGCCTTTAAACTACATTTTATTCCCAATTCCTAGGTCCCTAACTCCCCTTCGTGCTTATTTTTCTCCTGTCCCCAATCACTACTTCCCCTTTGCCTTTGTGCTAGTTCTCTCCTCCTACTTCTCCACCTTTCTCTCCTCAACTACAACCCCACCACCACCTCCGGCCCCAGTCATTATTCTAGTCTCAGCAACGCTTAATAACTCCATCATGCTCTCACCCTGCAGCCATCACAGATAAACAGCAAGCGAGAGGAGGGGGAGGGGGGGCTCACATTTCAATACCTGGATCATTACCTGTCTTAGCTGGAGCAAAGGTGGCCTAGTCAATGTACTGTATTCCTGTGTGTGCATGCACGAACACCACCAGTCAAGTTCAGAACAAGTTTCTGGCTCTGCTATTGCTTCAATGCATGGCTGTTTTAAGTATCGTGCTGTAAATGGAGAAATGAGGACTCCTTGGCTTATCATAAAAATGTATTTGCAAGAAGGAAGATCATTTTAAAAATGTGAAAAGCACAAACACTCATGTCTTAGATTGTACTGGCCACTTTAAAAGATCTTCAGCTCTTTAGGCTGTGTCTGCTACTTTAAATCTGCAACAAAAAAAAAAATCACAGGAAGGATGTTCTGAAACTCCGTCTAACACCCAATTCACACATACTACAAGATCCCGCGAGAATAAAGAGAAAAACATGCAAACAACATGTTGCTTTGTCTTTCTGAGGATGCATTGTTGTTAATTCGGTGCCTGTTTTGACGTAATGTTGATAAAGTGATGAAAAATACGATCGCGAGACCCTATATTGTGCTTTATTTTGAAATTGACCGGATGCTCTGTGCGTTGCCTTGTCTGACTTCCTTTCCGGGCTGTCATATTCTGTCCAGCTTGACGCGTGCCTGCAGCGTACTCCGGCGAAAATAGACTCGCTGCGTATTTGAAACGGAGCAGAGCGTAGTGCTGTTGGTGGCACACGCCGGAGAAGGACCGCAGCGCGCCCTGTGCGAACACAATGATTGACTAGAGTGGAACCTAAGTACAAGGTAGTGTGCGGCGCTGACGGACCGTGGCGCGCACAGAGTATGTGTGAATTAGGGGTAAGGCAGAGTAACTTGGTTGAAATCATTGTCACGTTTCTGATATCAATACACTTTAAAGTTTGGCAACCAAACTCTTTACATAAATCATAAACTTTCTTTAGATGTTGCAGCACCTGAATGGCTGAGATGAGCTTTGACAATCATATCAGAGCCAGACGTGACACAAACAGGAAGACACTTTCTAGACTTCAAAGCTGTAGAAGTGCATCCAGAAGCCCCAAAAGACGGGTTTCGATGTGCTCATGTGAATGTATAAGTG